TTCTTTCACTGAGATGTGGCCTGTCCTGTCACTCTGACCTATGTATGATCCCGCAACCAGATTGCGCAACCACAGGAATTTATAGCTTCAAACTTGCCACCCCCGCCACCTTCATTTTTTGCACATTTAACATTTGAAACCATCTTTGATGCTCAGAACCTAAACGAGTGAACAGTCACCACCAAAAACGATCTCCTCTAGAAAATAAATACTGTAAAATAATTAGTGGAGTGGCACTAGTAGATACGGAATTGCTTTCCATGATGTTATATATGTGACGGCCCATTTGCAGGTAGGTGTAAGATATATCACAGAGGAAGGGCGACAGAATTGTTGGTAGGAAGGAACTGGCTTTGCCTCTTGCACTTCTGACAAATGACCTGAAAGCAAAAACATCAGCCAGAACCTCTCCAGTTGGCAACTATATAGTCAAATGTTCTTAGAGTTTTACCTTCCAAAAACTGAAGCTAAAAAACTAATAATATGAGGAGGTTAGATACAGATAGCCCTACCTTTTCTTATTTAGGGGTGGGATATGAAAAGGAAACACAAACTCAATTGTATGTGGATTATAATGCAACTAAAAAGAGTGAATCATATAAACTGAGACAGTTGGCTTTGTTACCTTAATGATACCTACAGTGCAATATGTGAAATCTATTACTGTCCTGGACACTGGGTCATGCATTCATAACTGTGATTTTAATCTGCTTTATTATTATTATTGTACACTGCCCAGAGAGAGTGTGCGTCATTATTGGACAACTGATAAATAGAACAAACAAACACAGACATGCACACACACTATTGTAGGTCTTTTGTTTTTACTGGCTTCTGTAAAGCATAGTTGTTTTTGGAGGTAAGGAAACATTTCACTTAATTATAAGGGGCATGCTTTAAATAAAATAATCTCACAACCGAGTGAATTAGCATGTTGTATTGTGGCTTATTGCAACACTCGTGAAACTTCCAGCCTCCTTGACAAGGCCTTTGGGCTAACAGCAAAATGAGACCATGAGTGGAAGGATGTCCATTAAGTTGCCCACTATCTGTTCTATGTCACAGAAATGCCAAAGTAAAGGCAAATAGCAGAAAGCAGAGGACACAGAGTCCAGCAAACTTTTGTAACTGCAGTTGCACTGTAACCCCCCCCCCCCCCAAAGTGTAAGTACATAAATAGGTACCGCTCCGGAGGGAAAGGTAAACGGTGTTTCCATGTGCTGCTCTGGTTCGCCAGAAGCGGCTTTGTCATGCTGGCCACATGACTTGGAAGCTGTCTGCGGACAAACGCCGGTTCCTCGGTCTATAGAGCAAGATGAGCGCACAACCCTAGAGTCATCTGCAACTGAACCTAATGGTCAGGGGTCCCTTTACCTTTTAAGGTGCTACTGGAAGGAATTTTTTTATTTTGTTTTGACTACAGCAGACCAACACGGCTACCTACCTGTATTTAGAACCATGTTAATTTGCTCACAAGCACCCTTCCAAAAAGAAACGAGGAGCAGGCTGCTCCAAAACACATGGTCCAGGTTTTTTTGTGACCTACAACACCTATAAGCAAATATTATTAGTTATCAGTCTCTTTGCTGGAGTCCAATGAAACCAAAACATAATCTTCTGCTAAATCAGCGAAGGGCTACCAAGGCAGATCAATGGGACTTAAACACAGTTTAACATTGCAACTGGCAATACAAATCACACTATCTGGTGCTCTCACAGACTTTTAACTGTGCTTTTAACTGAATGGAAATCAGGTAGATGCTGAGATGTTGCTATAGTGTCAGTAATGGCATGATTTTGTTGCTGATGCTGGTTTGATGATAACATGATTAGAAGATGCATCGTATAGGCCACTTACTGCCTGAATCCTAATTGATTACATATATATCAGAGACCCGGATCTTTCCGTCTAGCTTATCACAGGAGCAGACATTTTTAATGAAGGTGTGATCGCACAGGAAACATATTTTTCTACCTTAAGCAAAAATTATCAGAGCCAACAAATCAGGCAGCTGTTCAGACAAAGGTAACCCCACGAGCTGCTGAAAAATCCCAGCACTCATATGCGAAGAGCCATTGTTTCATCTCCGCAAATGAGAAAGGCACCTAAGTTTTGGTCAGGCCATTTCAGTATGGGAAGGCTGACTGTTCATGGTGGCGGTGGCTCCCTTTGGTTACCTGACAGCTGGCTTGCCTGCATATGCAGGAATGGGAACAGATGGTCATTGGCTGTGCATATAGATACATATGCTTTATTTTTTGTTTCCATTTCTAGAATGGCCATCAACCAAAGTCCTGCCAGCGCCTTGCAAAGAACAATAAAATACTTTTATGGTGGGGTGGCTGGCTGGCTGACCACTTCAGTTTAGCATACACTATTAGTGTGGATGTTCTTTAGTTATACATGTATGTGCAGCACAAAGGCTGTAGGTTTCAATTTGGGGTTGTAAGATGGAATGATGCTCGTTTGCGCTGTGAGTATATATATCATGGGATTTCTGGTTTGGCTATGGAGTTAGGACCAAACCGGACATAATAAGGAAGATGTGGAATTGAATCTGCCCACCCCTTTTATGACTTTAAAGCAGCTGTGGAGGGAGGGCTTCTTTGGCAGGTGGGGTGTTTAACCTTTCCCATCTCCCATTTCCCATCTCCCACTCTGTGAAGCCCAGTTTGTGGGTAGAAGAAAGAGAGAGCACACAACACCTATACCTTGCTTCTTCTTCTCCTCTAGCCAGGCTAATAGTTGCTTTGAGGGGTGAGGCTAAACTATTCCCTCCCTGCTGCATTACTGCTCTCATCAGAAGCACATTGACAGGCTTCAGGGACTTGGCTTCCTCTCCCCTTTAGCAGTAGATAAGCAGAACAAAGAGAAAGGAGTCTCTTACCAGTTAGAAATTTTTAATGATCACAGTGGGAGAACAAAGAATCCATTCCTAGGAATTAAGGTGCTCCCAATTAAGGGTTCCACCCACTTTCTCCATAGCCATCCACGTCACTACCATGTCTTGCAACTTGATCTTATAACCACTGTGCTTTCTGTGCTGCCACCTTATCTGCTCTTCTTGACCTTGGGCTGAGGAGGGTAGTCAAGCCTATTGTACCTCAGTCTAGGCACAAAGCTCATCGTGTGAGGAGGTTTGAGCAGGTTGCTGCAGCTCAGACTGCATGGCTCTTACAAGCCACTCTTGAGTCCCTATACCAATAGTATTTCACCACTGTAACTAAGCCAAATTTCACTGCCTGTACAACTTTTTCAGAATGCTGTATGAAAAAGCACATAAATCTGATCTTTGGAGAGTTTGTAAGTAAACCATTTTTAACTTGCTAAATGTGTGGTCTTTTTCTCTATGCTAGAGGAAGAGGGAAGTTTTGGAACTCACAAGAGCATATTTTAAAAGTCTAACAGCCTATATTTCCATTCTGCATATTTTGTGATTTTAAATCTCTGCTAGGGTTCTCTCACCAAAGAGTATTTGCCCCAAACTTGGATCCCGGCATCCAGGGTTTTTATATACCTATTGTTTTCCTTGTACCAACATGATCATGGATCGCCCACATCGTATCTTGTTTAGCCCTTAGAATTTGTGTAGATGGGCAGTTTTTGTGTAGCACATATAAAGGAGTATGGACAGCTGCATGTGTAAATGATTTCTGTGTGGGAAGGTGAGACGGGCCATGGCATACGTTGGCTGCTGTCGTTCAAAGGCCACATAAAGGGGTTGTGGTAGATGAAGACATTTTTCTTTGGTTGTGTGAGTAAGGCCGTGTGTGTGTGTGTTGTTTCATTAGTGGGGTGGTCTTGGAAGGTGCTGTTGGCACGTGTAATCCTGCATAGACTTCTCTCTATTAGTCTCCAAAGGAGCTAAAATCTGGAGGGATAAGATGCCGGAGTCGCAGCCAAAGGCTGTAAAATCTGAGGTTGAAATGTAAAGGAAAAAGTGACAAGGGGAAAGGGCGGTCTGCTCCACCTTGCAGGGGCTGTACTGGAATGCGTTTGCATGCCAGGGTATGCAGTGCCTGAGTGTGTGTTAGCAGCAGTGTTGAGTTAGTAATATGAACCCTATACAAATACCTCCAGGGCAGACAGGTCCATTTCAGGCTGTGTTTATTTAATAAAGAGCCAGTGAAGTAACTGCAATTTCATTGTCAATTTACTAATGCGTTACAGTTATGTTTCTTAACCTCATTGTTTGGGCTCAGAAGCCAGCGCTACCCAGCCAATTGCCCCCCCACCATTCCCCCTTTGAGTGTAAAACACATTTTATTATGACTAGAATGTCTTCTATTTATTAAAAGCGGGGATTAAAGACCCTCACCAACTCCCCTCGACACATATACCCAACTAGGCGATGGGCTGGTTTATTAAGCTAATGAAAGCATCTCACTTATATACATTTACTTAGGCACCTTCATATTTGAAAAGTTTATCTGGGCAGAAAGCAACTGAAAGGAAAATGTGGCTGAAAGGAGAATTGTCTGTCTTTGTGGTTTGAGGAAGTTAGTCACACTCTTTTGGATGGGAATTCTGGATTGAAACAATGTCCAGGAATATTCGTACATTAGCGCAACACACAGCGTCTCTCCACAAATCCTACCCCCCCGCAACAAATTTGTTGCCTGGCAGAGCCATCCCATGGTCGTTGGTATGCTGCCGGAACACCAACATCTTGTACAACTTCCAGAAAGTGATAGCATCTAATAATTTTACAAAACAAACAAAAATTGGCATAATGTCAGCATAACATAACTGGGATCCTCTGTGCTCCCAGAAGCAAAGCTGAAAAGAAAACAGTATCACTTTAAGCAAGAGACAATAAAGCATCAGACACACCTCTAACATCCACGGTAATGTAACCAAGACCCATACATAAAAGGTGACTATTAAGTAGTGGGTTGACAAAGCAGACGACACAGAGATTTTTCCAAATGGTTCTTTATAGTAAGCTGGAACTGAACTGAACAGCAAACAGCTCAGCTGGCCTGCTTTTATAGGCAGTCGGCTGTCAACATTGTAACAACGACAACACAGGGCTTCCCACCTAAAGTAACTGACATGGACCTGAGTGAAAACTATATACATGATACTCCTGGTGGCCAGCGTGAGTACTTCAATACATAACAGTGACATATCACCTTTTCAAAATCTTATGGTTCATTTATTTCAAGGCCGCTTTTCAGGGTTGCCCCTTTCAAGGTGGCCCCAAACATGTTAATAACAAACAATAACACAAACAATCTAAAATGAGGGTTCTTAAGCTTTCTGTCTCCAGGGCCTACTTGAAATGACTGAAACTTTGTGAGGCCTACCAGTCACAAAATGGTGCAGCTGGAGCCATGTCAAGTTACAAAATGGTGACAGCGTTTAGCATAATCAGCTGACAATTACTGGCATCATTTTCTACTGGAAATCACAAAATTCTTTGCTACAGCATTTTCCTTGTGGTAAAGAGTTCCGTAGTCATCTTTCCTCATGTTAAATACAAACATTAGCTTGGGAAGGATTTTAATACAGCTTCCTATTTTAAGAAGAATTTGCTGACTCAAAAGCTCTAAGTATAGCGGTGTTTCAAATTATTATTGTTGTTGTTGTTATTATTAAAATTTGTATACCACCCTCATCTGTAGATCTCAGGGTGGTTCAAACATAAACATATATATTTTCGCCTCCACCTCATGCCTCTCAGTTTTTATTCATTTCTTGAAATTTATTCTCTTCTCCTTTCACACTGCTAGTTTCTTCTAGCCTTCCTTTTGCTTGCACTTCCTTCTGTAACACCTTCACTATCTTAAGCCATTCATTTCTCCTCCCGGTTTACTATTTTAAAAATAATGAACTTTTATCTGTTTCTGATTTTGCTCTATGCCTTCTCTGGCATTTTCCCCTCAGAGGAGGAAGTCCTCCTCTCCCTCTCCCATTCTTCTTCTCAGCCACCTTTACTCGCCATGCCGGGAGTTGCTGGTGCTGACATCAGTCCAACCAAAAGGCGACCGTACAGCCAGAAATCTGGGTGGGTTGTGACACTGAGTGGTCCTTGGCCCACCATTTGAGAGACACTGATCTAAAACACAATAACACCTCTAAAAAACATCACCACAGCAGATAAAAACAACACCAGCAGACTGAAACAAAACAAACAAAGAAATTTGGAATACTGACTGGAGTCTAGAGAAGGGGACACGAAAGGAAGAAAATATTGATGGTTTGAAGAGTTCTTTGGCAGCTGTGGCTGTGGATATATTACTGTTTATACTCTGGCTCCAGTGTGCTCCCACTGCTGGGTTGTTTTTTTGAATCTGTGTATTCACACTGCATTACCTACGATCAAGAGGTAGCCCATAGTTTCTTGCTAAATACTGCCGTTTCATGAGGTCTACCCCAAACCAGCTTCAATCTGACTTGAAAACAGTAGCTATATTCCATTCAGGTTCCCTGTGGGCAGGTGGTCCTACATGTCTGACATCAGCATGGGTGGAGGAGCACCTCACTTCCCACCCACCTTTCTCAAAACCAGGGGTGTATGAGGAGATGATCACAGCAATAATGGCAACCCGGTTTCTCCCTCCGCGCTGGGCTCCTGCCGCCCAAACAGGGCAGTGATGCTCTTGGCTTGCACTCCAGGCTTGGTGAGGGGGAAGAAGGGATCTGGGAATAGCCAGAGCCCTACTGAACTCAATGTGACTTGTTTCTGGGTAGTCATGAACAGGTTTGCTCTGTCAGGCTGAAATCTTATGCTTTTACATTTGCTTAGAAGTAAGATGACAGCTGCACAGAGTTGGGGGTGGGCAGAGAGGTGGGAAAGCACCCAGGCAATTCACATCAGGTGAGGCCATCTCTGCCCCTTTTCCACCCACTGGTGTGGCCAAACAGCATCAAAGAGCAGTGTAACAATGTGCAAAATTGAACTGAAACACAGGAGGGGCAATCTTGCTGCATTTTAAGCTGGTAGTGTTTACACAGCCTTAATCTTAGGGTACGATCGCTTCTTTTTTAACGACTTAATTTTTCAGTTAGAGTACAGAATTTCTCATCCCTTAAAAGGAGAGGAAATAGTATGATTTACAGCATAGGGTGGCAGGGAGAGCAAAGACCTATTCTATTTCCTCAAAATTTCAAATATGACTCCTATTACCAGGTAGAGGTATGTGGATTTAAATTTGTGTTTGTTCTCCTGATGTCAGTGGAAGAATGCCATTTGCCCTGTCTCAAAATGGAGGACATTTTCAGCCCTCTCTGGCCATCCCAACGAAAAGGGGAGTTGTCCAGGTCGCCGATTTTCAAGTTCTTCCTCTGGAAAATATGGGAAACAGCATGAAGAAAAAGCAAAATAAAAAACAATTCTCATTTGAACCAACTGGAAAGAATACCAGGAAAATATCATTAAGGCTGCAATTCTATATCTGGAGCATTGAATTCAGTGGGACTTACATCTATGTAGACATGCATAGGATTGTACTGTAAGGCTGCAATCCTAAACACGCGTTCCATTCTGCACTTTTTCCTGAGTAAAGCACCCATTGGATTACAGTGTTAATTACATTGGCCTTTCCCTCAATTGGCTCAACAAAATTCAGTCCATGTGCCTTTCTTGATTGTGCGATTGTGGTGCTCAGCACCACTTCCCTGAACCCATGCCATGGTGCAACACTATATAGGATCTGATTATGCTGTTGGAAATACTGATTAAAAGGAACAGGGCCGCTGGAAAAGTGATCAAGAAGAGATGAGCCGAAAGACATGCTTAATTTACGAAGACTTGAGGAGCTCCATCTTTTAAGAGTGACTTGATTAGAGCAGGAAAAAGGTTGGTTGAGAAATGAGCCTACCATCTTTGGAACAATGATTGTTTTCTCCCCATTCTCTGTTTTTAAAAAATGGACAAAAATTTAGTTGTGGTTGGCATTCACTATTCCGATGCCTTTAAATCTTTGCACACAAGATTGCTCACCTCACTAACAAAAATAACACCAAGAAAATAAAAAAAAGTTTTCAATTGTATAATACTTAAAATTTTCAGGCTTGTTTGTTTTTTGTTTTTTAGCAACTCTTCCAATATAGATTTTTCTAGTGGTGAAATGAGGAATATAAAAAATGTTTCTACAAAGTTGGAAACTATTTTCTGACAAAAAAGGGGGAAATAAAGTGTTCATCTGTGCATCTTTTGCTTAGGAATTTCTGCCTGCAAAACTGCTGCCAAATTCACTTTTGGAAGACTTTACGAAGAGGTACCCTTTTCAGTACTATCCTACGCATGAGTATTCTGAAGCAAGTCCCACTGAATTTAATGAGACTCCCTTCCAGTACATGTAAGGGCATACAAGTTTTCAGTCTGAAGGGGAGGGGATCTGAAATCAGATTCTGAAATCTATACATTGGATTGTCCATTTGTTCTGAGTTCCAGCTAACTGTTTAAACTAATGGCTTACAATTGCGATGTCACACTCAGACAATGTAGCAGGGTCTTTCTGTATTTATATCATACTTGCTTCGTATATTAATTCCTTCATCTTGGTTTTAAATAGCAATCTTCCTTAGGATATGTAGCAGAATAATTCCACCAGAGGAAAAAAAAGGCTTTTATCTCTGTTCTCCTCTGTGAATGTACCAGAGGCCATATATAGTGCAGACAGCTGCCCTGCTCTGCCTTGCGCTTGCCCTAACCTCTCCTCTGACCCACTCTCTTTCCTATGAAAAGCTTTAATTCAGGCTTTGAACTGAAGTCAGCAGCCGGGCAACCCTGCAATATCAACTGCCAGCTGGGAAAATTACACGGGGAGTCTGCAGAGGGAGCTGAGAACTGGTGCAGCATCGCTCAGCTCCGGGCCTTAAAACTGGACTTGAACCAGACCTCTCTGGCAGGACGGAGGCTGCGCTGTCTCTTTGTGCAGTCATCCAAAGGGAGCAAAGCTGGGATCTCAGTGATTGCATGAGCCAGGCTTGTTCTGCAATTAGAGGGGAGATCCTAGCTAATCCCTCTCTAAATGAGGGCTAATTCCTAGTGTAAAAAACCTGTCAGCTGCTTGTTAACAGTTGCTTGGACCCTTGGTCAATTGCAGGAGGGAACTGCAGCTGGACCCTCTTTTTCAAAATGGGAACATAAATGTAAAACTTTACTAAGGCCATGTCTGCTGTGTTAATAACACAAAGCTTAAATAAGATGGTTGGGGGTGGGGGAAATACAGCAGTAGTGCTGGTGGCAGGGGGATATTTAATATTGAATTTGCTGGAGGTTTTTTTTTTTTTTTAAGCAAACGTGGAAACTTTTAGACACAATCCCGGCTCTGTGTTTAAGTCATTAAAACATCTTTAAACATTTTCTGGTTTTAGTTTTCTTAGCAGCAGTCCTTTTCCTGGAATGTATTTTATTTTTCTTTTAAGTCTGTGATTATATATATATATATATATATAGCAAAGCCCTTTGCATTTCCAACAGTTTTTTTTTTTTTTAAGGGTGGGGGAAAGTAGCACAGGGTGGGGAAAGCAAGAGAACAGGGCCCTTTCTGTGTTTTATTTCTAATCCACAGGAATCCATTTTAGCCTTTTATGGCCGCTGCACTTGCTGAGAGGATTTACATTCTCCGTACGTTATCTGCAACATCGCAAGCCGTGGCTGAGGAATTGTTTCATACCTGGGCTCAAAAACACACCAGTGCTTCTGGGAGGATTTTTTTTTTTGGGGGGGGGGGGGAGAGACAGGGAAGCAGAGAAAGAGAAAAAAAGCAAGCCTGTGAAGAAGGGGGGGGGGGAAGAGAAGCTAAAGAAAGAGCTAGGCAGGAACTGCGGTGTGTAGAGTTCATGCCCCAGACAAACTGATGTTTAAACGTACCGGAGAGGGTATTAGAGGAACCTTTGATTCCAGCAGTGTAGCGCAGGCCTAGTCTAGAGAACAATCTGTGTGAAGAAAAATAAGAATGCCGCATTCTTTCCATGGCGATTCCTTGCTTTTGGCTTTTGCTCACACACAGATGTAACTTGGGTTCCACAGACGTTATGTGCACTTTGTTTTAACGGGAACCACCTCATATGCTACATAGATCTGGTCTATGTTAATTTTGCATGTGCTCATTCATAAATTATATTCCGTCTCATTTCCATGCTGTTTTCTCTATCCATATGAAAAAGTATATTTACAATTTTTATCACAAAATAACATTTCTTTTGACACCCATATTTTATTTTGAAGGACATAAAAAAAAAACATTTTGGAGCATGTATATAATAACACTGTGGTCTGAGAACAATATTGTAGAATTCGTAAAAGTGCAAAACCCAAGGAATAATTATGTTCTGCTCTGTGTATTAGACTAGGAGGTGCAAATTAGGTCAGTTTGAGAAAACAAATTCTCCTCCAACACAGCTTGATTAGAACGGAATTGATATTCATTACTTTACACTTCCCTAGAACATAATGGGTGTTCCTTATTTTAGGCAACAGACTTCTACAGTGTCCTTGATTTTGGAAACTATTAATCAGACAATCACAAAATAGAGCTCTTAGATGCTGAAGAGGACAAGCTTCACTGTCCTCTAAAATAAATAAACGAACCTAGATTGTTGCTGCTAGGCAAATTTCTTTGCCAGCATATTTTGTTTGATGAAAAGTTATCATTATGGGAAAGAAAACTAATGACGATTTATTTAAAACATTTATACTCCACCTTTCCACAAACACAGGCCTCTGAGACAGTTTACAAACAGAATCAAACAGTCCATTCTAACAAAAACAAGCCAAGAAACTACAACATTAGAAACAAAAGCAGCAGCCAACCAACAGCTTGTATATAGAAAACTAATTAAATGCCACCTAAATATTGAGCAGAACGCAGGTGGTGCTGTGGTTTAAACCACTGCGCCGCTTGGACTTGCCGATCAGAAGGTCTGTGGTGCGAATCCCTGTGATGGGGTGAGCTCCCGTTGTTTGGTCCTAGCTCCTGCCAACCTAGCAGTTCAAAAGCACGCAGTGCAAGTAGATAAATAGGTACCGCTCTGGCGGGAAGGTAAACGGCGTTTCCGTATGCTGCTCTGGCTTCGCCAGAAGCGACTTAGTCATGACCCGGAAAAACTGTCTGTGGAAGCGGACAAACGCCAGCTCTCTCGGCCTGTAAAGTGAGATGAGCGCCGCAAGCCCAGAGTCGTTCGCGACTGAACTTAACTGTTAGGGGTACCTTTACCTTTTAAAATACTGAGCAAATAAAAATGTCCTTCTAGTGGCCAGCAGTGTGGGGCAGTGTTGCTTATGGGGCTTCCCAAGGTGGAGGTTGCTGCTGGTAACCAAAAGGAGATTGAGAGGGAAAAGGTCAGTGCTGTGCAAGCATAAATGGACACTCCCACCACACCTGCCAGGAAGTCCCTGGCTAAAATCTTGCCTCTTTTATGAGCTTACTAAGTGGCATTAAGCAAACCACTCTTTGCTATGCCATCAGCAATGTAGGGCTAGTAATACCAATCTCCTTTACAATATTGATTTGCTGATAATACAATGTAAGGGGAGTGCTTTAAATGCTGCAAAAAAAGCATATAACACTAAATATTTTTATAACTAAATTGAGCAGGACAGTTGGAACTATATTTTATTTAATTTTTTTTTTACAATTTTCAACAATTAAAGAACTAAAGATTGAGGACCTGACGAAGAATATAAAAGTATAATTCTTCAGATAATTTTTTAAAAAATGCATCTAGATTTTAATTTTGGGAATTATTGAAGATGTTCTCAGACCTATACAATTGAAAATATTTTCATTCATAAATCACTCTGGTGACCAATATATCTGATAATAAATACCGTATTTTTTGCACCATAACACTCACTTTTTTCCTCCTAAAAAGTAAGGGGAAATGTCTGTGTGTGTTATGGAGGGAATGCCTACGGGTGGCATGCCTATGGATTTTCCTCCTCTAAAAACTACGTGCGTGTTATGGTCGGGTGCGTGTTATAGAGCGAAAAATACGGTATATATTTTTAATAGAAAATCAAATTCTGGCATCTGCGTGACATCCAAGGATAGAGTAGGTTTGGAGACCCCACCCAACAATTTTTGCTGGATCTGGGAGCAGATCCCAGCTGTACTGGACCGCATGGAGGAGTCTGAGGGGAAAACTGCATGTACAGCTTCATCTTGAAATACACACACACACAAAATTGGCCAGCCTGTTTTTCTGGCTGACTGGCAATCCCACCAGTCCAAAAAAGGGACGCAGTCCTTGCCAGGAAGATTTACAGTTTATGTTAGACAGATGAAACCTAAATAAAGATAAGAGTTTAGTATAGTATTAAAGTGGAGAAGAATCAACAGCCCATTGTGACAGCAAATCACCCTTCTATTCAAAGGTTCACAAACATTAAAAAAACACCTTGACTGATTATATGTAATGTGCCAAAGGCTGATAAGTGGAGGTGCTAAGTGGCAATGAATCTACAGTAAGAGATTTGAGTATGAGCCCCTGATGCACATTCATGCCTGTATCTTTAGCGTGAATGCTATGTCCCCTCTGGCTCCAGTGTGCAGGATTCTGTTATCTGTATTCTTTTTTGTGTGTGTACTGGATTTTAAGAGTGTACAAATATATTCTGTGCATGGTCGTGATGTGAGAATAAACTGTTAGGTGTACCCCGTGAAATGTTTCAGGGCTCCCAGAATTTAGCTTGTGTTTGGATTCCTTGGAACCAAGGTTATTGGAGATTAGTGGTGTTTTCTGTGATGCACGGCCCATCTATGAATGTCCACAGACTGAGTTTCAGATGGAAGGGGTCACAGCATTGACATTCCAACAAATTCTGCTACTTCACTGAGGTTTTGGGTGGGTGGGTTGGTGGGTGGAGTCTTGAGCATGCATACACACCCAAACCATTGCTCTTGGATTCTTCAGAGAGCAAGACAGACCTTGCCAGTCCATTTGTTCTCTCTCACACAACCCAGTGACATCACTTCCAGGCAGAGGGAAAGCCGAAGAAATAATTGCCCCCTTCTGCTCACCTTCCAGAAGGATCTCTGACCAGAAGCTCTGACGGCAACAAAACACCTGTAAACTGCCACCTTGTGTGCAGAGGCCCATCCTCCTAGCAAAAAGGGTATGTGCCAACAAAAGAAATGGCCTTGACCATTTTGTTTTTTTTTACAGTCCCCTGTTCTGAAGAAATTGCACCTTCCAGCTATAAAATAAAAGGGCTGGATGGAGGATCTAGCTTCAAGACATTGCAATACTGTACATTCTTTGTGCGCATGGCGATCTTTTGGAGGCATCGTGGCTGAAGTGTGAAAACCTGAGCAGTGAGCTATGAATGCTGAGCGCATATACATGTTCCACAAAGCCTCCAGGCCATACATTTCTTTTCTTGCTGCATGCATTTGTCCCATCGATTTAATTTTCCTTTCCTTCTCAAGGCTTTTAGCCCCGCCAAAACCTCACTGGAACCTCGTTTCTGCACCTACCTATGCCTTGCATTTTCTCGACAATGGAGGCAGAGGAGGTAGCGCATTGGATACCACATGCCCCACCGAAGCCTTTGTTTGAAGGCCTCCTAATAAATCAGCTGGGATGCAGGCAGACCCACCACACCCTGTTTGCACAGTGTAAATTCTGGCCGGGTTTCTGCCTCCTGTCATCTCCTCTCGCTGGTGTCAGGTTACTCCCTCCCTCCCTGTGAGTGAAACAACCCACCTGTGCCTGAGGGGCCTGTTTTTGATTCCTGGGAAACTTTAACCTCTATTAATACCACTAAATTATTTGTTCATATGGTAAAGCACTTATGTAAACTGATCTTCCATGCCCTCCCCCCCCCCCGCCTGCTCGGAGGAGGTAGAGGCCTTGCACAGATGGCTCTACCTGTTCTCAAGAGGCTTTCAAACCCTCTACATTCTTCTGTGCTGCTGCCTTAATTTTTTTTATTTTTTATTTAGGCAAGGCTGGCGGGCAGGGAATTTCTGTGACTGGAGGGAGTAAGCAGAGCACTAACCCCCTCCTTTGAAGCTCCTGGGGTGGCAGCAGATTGCTTACCCTCCAAGCACTTAAATTACCTGGGACTATCTCGAATATCTGCTGATAATCCCAGATTGATGATCAACTAGTGAAAACCCCATCGTATTTTATTTTTTTGCCTGGCTGCCGATTGGCTTGTATGCAGTGGAGGCCGCTGCCTTGCACCTATTAACATCCTTGAATCCCAGCACCTGCAGCCCCCTCTTCTTAAAACAGGTGATTTTCAGGAGAGCTGGCGCCATTTTCAATGTTCAGTCAGCATTGTGGCAGAAACTGTTGTTCCATGTTCAGTTCTGAGTAGCCTGGGAGTAAGTCCCACTGAGTTCAGTAGAGCTTATTTTAGAATAGATATAGAATCATAGAACTGTGGAGTTGGAAGGGACCCTGAGGGTCATCTAGTCCAACCCCTGGAATCTCAACTAAAGCTGCCATGGCTAGTGGTCTCCCTGGGCAAGCATTTCTCTCTGCTGAATTGGGCAAGAGAGTGAAGGTTTTATATTTTTAAAATAACAGAGGCCAACAAGAGAATATTGAGAAGCAAAGCAGCTAGGAAGCCTGATCTTTATTGAACTGTTGCAACAGGTTCCTCACTCACCACACACAGGATGGAGGAGGAACCCAGAACAATAGTGTGCCAGCCCTTATATAGACTTTTGAAATTGCCCACCCTGGAGCCCAAGACCAACCCTCAATACATCATACATGCATCACTGAAGGGGCGGTCTACAGCAGAAGGGGTGGTCTACAGCAAAATATTGTCTGACAGGAAACCTGTTGATGGGTTTACCTGGAGAGCCTGGCTATTCTTTTGCGATGATAAATACTTAATTCCTGAGTCCAGGTCACAGGCTCACCCTATACATGTGCCCAAATGTGTCCTTAAGGCAGGATTTGTGAGCACAAGAGACAATGGAGAGGCGTTTCCCATTTCCTTCTTCCTTGCAGATAAACATTTGAGTTCAATTTGGGAGAGTCAAAATGGTTTCAGGACTTTTTTCCTGTACCGTTTCAGGCATGTGGTTTATATGTGTTTGCCTGGTACATTTATGTATGTGGTTGCTTGGTACATTTATGAACATTTATTTTATATCTTATAATTCTCATAACAGATTTCTCCAGGAACTTACTGGGGGAAAGCTGAAAAATGATTAGGGTGGGTGGGGTACTGGCAGGTACATATTTTCTCTCCCTCATCACTGAGGGAGGTGGGGGGGAGGGACCTTATTTAGGCTGTAATCCAATACACTGTTGTCCTGGAGTAAGCAGCAGTGAACTCAATGGGACTGACTTCTTGGTAGATTCACATAAGCTTGCACTGTGGGTCTCTTCCCTGGTTGCAGGATGGGTTATATGCTCAGCAACTGGAGAGATTTTTTTAATTTTATTGTTATTATATTGGTGGGTGCAAATCAATTTCCTCTAGGGAATGAACTACTCCCAAGCCCTGTACAGCTCAGAAGTAAATCCAACTCAATTTAAGACAGTTTATTCCTTCATAAATTGCACTGAACAGCAACTGAACACAGCAAGTCCAATTACAGAGCTGTAAGGCTGCAATCTATGGGATGTGGGTGGCGCTGTGGATTAAACCACAGAGCCTAGGACTTGCCGTTCAGAAGGTTGGCAGTTTGAAACCCCACAACAGGGTGAGCTCCTGTTGTTTGGTCCCTGCTCCTGCCAACCTAGCAGTTCGAAAGCACGTCAAAGTGCAAGTAGATAAATAGGTACCGCTCTGGCAAGAAGGTAAACGGCGTTTCCGTGCGCTGCTCTGGTTCGCCAGAAGCGGCTTAGTCATGCTGGCCACATAACCCGGAAGCTGTACGCCGGCTCCCTCAGCCAATAAAGCGAGATGAGCTCCGCAACCCCAGAGCCGGTCACGACTGGACCTAATGGTCAGGGGTCCCTTTACCTTTACCTTTACCTAAGGCTGCAATCGGATGCTCAGTTGCTAGGAAAGGAAGTCCCTTTGTACTCTGCGAACTTATAAGTACACATGCATAGGACAGCGCAAGCTGTATGTCTGTCTCCCAGTTGCTTGGGAAAGTAATTTGACTGCATGATACACACCACACATTTAAAGCACACAACGTACCCAGAGAACCCCTGGAACTGTTGTTTGTTAAAGGGGCTGGGAATTGTAGCTCCGTGAGTCAAATACAGTTCCCAGGATTCTTGGGATGTGCTTTAAGCATGCTTTAAATGTACTGTGCGTGTGCAGCCTTGAATTCCAGGGAACTGGTAAAAGACTACTTTGTTTTTGCCTTGAGGCTGGGCACAAACCAATCTTTCCTTACCCCCCTTGAAACAGAAAAAGATGTAAAAGTCTTTTAGCCTCTTCCCTGGCATGTAGCATCACTGTCAAAAGGGATGGTTTGTGCCACAAGCAGCCCCTCCAGCTATCATCAAGTAACCTTCCTTCTGCCCCCACCAATTCTATTGTTATAGGTTTCCCTTTCAGTAGGGCTATCAGTGTTTGTTGCCCTGAGGTAAATACCTGGCCAGCAGGACCTGTTTAAAACTCTGCAAGGTCCAAGGATTGAAAGGTTATTTGAAGCCACTCCTTCTTGCTCACTGCACTGAGGGCCAGTGTTGTTTCCACCACCACCACCCTCAGCTGAGAGTGGAGGAACTCAATATGCATAGAGTCCGTTCACAATAAAAAAATAAATCTAGAGGTAGATTTTCTAAATTAATATTGCACCTTTTCTACAAGGAGCTACATTTATATTGCACCTTTCCTAGATGTTGAGTTCAGGCATTCACCCAACCATAACCTCTTAAATTGAGGATGAAGCCAGGTTGGGCACATAAGCTCTGCCCCAAATGTTTCCAGGATGCTCTTCAGGTCTTCCTGCAATTAGTGAGAAGTTCTGAAGAGGCTTTAAAGGTATGTTCAGTCGACCCCTCTTGGAAACCTCCCATGAGCAGGAAGCGTGGCTTATCAAGGTCTCCAATCATTGGGAGAGTCCTTCATGTGAAGATATGAAGAAAGAGCAGCCTTCCTGCCAGGGGGCATTGGGGGTGGGTTTGGTTTAACCCTTTGTGTGTTCAGGCATTGGCCAGTAGTAGTTGGTGGGGCAGGGTGGTGTTGCTTCCCTGGCCTTCCACCACCACCGTTGCTGTGTTGGACTTGGAGGGCAAGGAGGAATGTGGCTGCCAAGGTTGGCGCAGTGCAAATGCATTGGCAGGAGTACCAAATTACAGATGTGTTTGCATTGCACTAACCTCACTGCTGCCTTGACACTCCCCCTTCTGGTACACCACAGGGATGGCAGTGTTGGAAGCTCAGGCAAGCAGCACCGCTCTGCCCTGCCAACTGCTAGTACTGGATATATTCCATCTGATTTGAATTTGGGAAGGTGCACCACCTAAAGATCAGCGTTAGCCTAAAGCGAAATTTGAGCAGGACAGAGCAGATAGGGACGCTCCCATTGAGATTAAGAGGGTCAAGGTTTTTACTCTGTCATTTTCACTTTGCTGGAAAATAACTATGTTCAGCTCTCCCCGTGAGCAACATCAGAAAGAGAAAATACACCAAGGTACAAGATGCATTTAATGATGTACAAAGAGTAAGGTCTTGAATGTAAATTGACCATATTTAAATATGCTTGTGAAGAATGCTTCAGTTCCCTGAAATGGCTTCTTTCTCTCTCTCTCTCTCTGGCTGTCTTGAACCTCCAATCAAGGCCTGCCTGGGAGCAATTTGGTGTTGGAAATTGTTGCCACACGAACAGCTGAACGCTGGCAGGGTCACCTGCCCCCTGTGTCACACCCTGTCATTTTAGATTAAGATATGCAAAGGCGACATGGCTGCGAACTTTCCCTTTGCTGCCGTGGCTGTGGCCATCCCCTTGGCTTTAATGAGAGGAAGGCGTAATTGGAGTCAACTGCTTGATTATGATAATTGCTACTGTCTGGGGAAAGACGCATTCAAGGCCTGTAGCGCGATCAATAGTGCACCTTTTAGGGTGGCTGCTGTCTGCACACAGGCAGATGGGTCTGGAGGGAAGCAGCTCTCTCTGGCCCCATACTGGCCTTTGACCTTAGGTTGACCACTTGTTCACTTCAGGATTTTAGCCGGTCAGGGAAAAGGGTCAATAGGTTTCTGGTTGTTCCTTGGTTCTCTTGGATGATTCATCCTGAAGGATTTATCCCCTCAGAGGGAAGGGGTCTTCTTAAAATTTATCCCTTCGCTACAACCACAGAGCAAGATGCCATATATTTTCCAATGGGAAGCTAACTGTTTTCATTGTGCTTCTCAGCAAAAGCCTCGGGAAGACTCTGTGGGAAAGGCAAAAAATATATATTCCTCTTTATGTGTCCAGTTGGGTGGACGACCTGTTGGGTTAGATCAGGGCTGAAGAAATATAGGGTTCAGCTCTCAACATTGTCACTGGCACCCAATGTTTCTTTGTGAAGTACCGTTTAGGCTCTCCTGACTGCACAAACATTATACAACACCTACTGCTGAGAACAGTGTATTTAGGGCAGGGTCCAACTGAGTATGTTTTCAAAGTTATGAACGCCAGATACGGCACCAAATGTATTCACAAGACAGCCAGAGCCAAAACAGACATGACAGGATGCACTGTTGTGCTTTTCTTTCCCTCAGTGTTATTTTAAACCAAAAGCAGCCTTGGGTGGCTGCAAGTTTAAATGAAGGAGTGAATGGTGGGATCTTTTCCCCTCTGTCCATTTCCCCTCTCAAAATTGTCCTCCTCGGCTGTTTTTCTCCCCACAAAGGAAAAATATGAAGCATATATTTTCCCCACAGACAGGAGTACATCTGAGTGTTTATGTCTTTGGTTGTTACCTTGCTTTGTGTTTTAAATGCTGTTAAAACACCTTGATCACTGTTTGGTGGACAGGCAGGATACTGGTGTAACAGTGTCCTTCTTCCAAGACTGTCACATCCGCAGCGTACATTTAAAGCAAATGGCTTCCACCTGAGAACCCTGGGATCTGTAGTTTGTTAAGGATGCTTGGGTGCTATAGCTCTGTGTGGGATAAACTACAGTTCCCAAGATGAGGGAAGCAATGTGCTTTAAATGTATGGTGTGGATGTAGAACACTGCGGGAAAGATATATGGAACTGAGTGTCACGTTTGGACTTCTGTATCTCCACTGGCTTATCTGCTTTCAAGACTAGCCTGGTAATATATACAAGAGACTTTGACATCCTTCAAGAAAAGAAACAGTCAAAATGAAAACAGTAATTAACACCATTACCAGAATGGTTATCTGACTTACGTTAAGTGCAAATCCATCTCTTTTATCATAATGGAGCTGCCATCATGGGCTGGGTGGTGATGGTAACAACATCAACAATAGTAATTCTGAACTTTGAGCCATTGAAATTATGCTGGGAATCCAATACAAGAAACATTTACAAAGAAAAGATACAGAAAGGCTGGGTAAGGGCACTGTGTAAGGAAACCAGATGTTGTTTTTTTATAAAATAAATCTTTATAAAGTTGGAATCTAATTTGGTAGAGGATGTTCTGAACTATGGCACCTAATGGTATGATCCTATGCATGTTTATTCAGAAGCAAGCCCCACTGCATTCAGTGACGCTTACTCCCAGGTAAATGGGCATGGGCTCTACCTATATTTTGGGGCACATTTGGGATAATGGCTAGCTTGATAGGCAGAACAACTACAACCAATGTGTGCTCTGCAATTTACGATGTCACCTTGCTTTGTTCATTTTTCATGAATTATTGAGCTCATCCTCTTTCACAGCTCTGTCTCTTTTCATAATGGTCTTTCATCCCTGTGCAGGATTTTTGCACGGTAAATGTTTTCAAGAACTTTGATGTGTGTTTCGTAACATGAATTGCATCCATGTAACCGATAACACTTTTTAGTTTATGTCATTTTACTACAGACATAAGAATGGAGATTACTTATGTAAAGTGGAGCTAATGTAGCAGGATTTATAATGATGATTCCCCCCCACCAAATAATAATACAGTCTCGAGCATCATAATCCTGTGACTGCTTATGGAATCTTACTCAAAGTGTGCTCACTTTGATGAGGGCACAAAATACTCAATTGCATGATATTTCATAAGCAATTTCAGAAAACATGAAGTTCCTACATGTCCCTGGGAGAGGAGAGGGGAGGTAGGGTGAACTGGCCAAACAGGAGACTTGGAATTCAGCTAGCTCATAAGGCAGTAAGAATCTCATACCCCTTGCCCTATGCGGCGCATAAGTGGGTGGCAGCAGCCGAGAAATAAGGGTTGGCACTGGAACCGTAAACCACCCTACTGTTACAAGGCTGATTCTCGATGTGAATTTGCATTATTGTCTAAGGTTGCTTCCAGACAACCTGGTTACTGAGCATTCATCTTGATTTGTTTGCACAAAGTTTGCAGGGTGGTTCTGTGACGCCGACTTTAGATTAAGCATCCATTCTGAAGTATTTGCGGGGAGGTTATGTGATGTCATTTCAAGCCACTTTCCAGGGCATTTTGCAATCACTTTCCTTATTGCAAAAAGGTTTGTTTTTTGGGGGGTGTATGGGTGGTTTATTGCACAAGAGTGCCAAGTCTATTTTAACTTGGGGAAGCAACATGGCTCAGTGGTGAAGCAGAAGGTCCTGCATCTCCTGGTAGGGCTGGAAAAAAACCCTGCAGAGGCGCCACCAGTCAGTGTTGATGCTGCTGAGCTAGATGGACCAATGGTCTGACTCAGTACAAGGCAACTTCCTATGGTCCTAACGGCACAACATGAATTTTTGCCAGTATTTGGTTGAATCTCACTTGTAAAACAGCAACATTCTAGAAATATCCCTAGTCTGTCTGTCTCTCTCTCTTTGTTTAATTTATTTTTTCTGTGCAATGTGTTTATCAGTGCTTCATGTGGTCAATGGGGGATACACATCACTCTAATATTAGCATTCCCAGATTATTAATTAATTAATTGACTGATTATATCCCACTTTTCCTCCCAAAGGAGCCCAAGGCGGCAAATACCAATGTGATAAAATGAGTGCTAAAACAATAACACTAATGTATATATTAAAAGCATTTAAAATATCTAAGGATATGTAAAATAGATCAACATGCTCTAAGATGTTAAACAGAGACAGATCAAAGGATATGAGCAAATTGTGCCACCTCTTTGGTGATTCAGACCAATTTGGTGGTCTAATCCAGAGACAATGCGACTCAGTGACGTTATGTGATTACCATGAAATGGACAAGCGGTGCCATACTTAGTTCAAAAACTCAAAAGTTGGGAACTTTGGGTGTTTGTTTGTTTGTTTTTAATTCAAAACGGGCATATCCAAATTGCATTAAAAATCCAGACTCTCATCTTCACCTCAAATGCTCTTACTCCCAGAAACCAAATAAAAGAATTATTAATATTAATAATAACATTCAAATAAAACAATACTCAGTGGAAGTCTGACCTACTGGTATTTCTTCTTTGTATATGTTAATTTAGTTAAATAGAGGCTGCAGTTTTGAGAAAGGAGTAATGGTGTGGAAGGAGGTGCTTAATGATTTTGTGCCAGTGGCTGTTTCCATACACAAACCCCATTTTTTAAGCTGCTCTCCCCTGCTCATACTCTGCAGGGGTATGCGCCAGTGTGGTTCATCAGGGCAGGCTGGTTGCCTGAAGGTCTTACCCCATGCTGACTCACAGTAAAATAACCCGACCAAGGGCCAAATGAAACGCTACACAAACATGTAACAAATTCCCTATGCATTTTTTGTTTGTTTTAGAAAAAGTGGTAAACAACTGTGGGAGGTTTCCAGTTCGAATACATGCGCAATGTGGAGGGAGATGCTGCTTTAGTCTTTCTGCTTTTTTCTGCTTTTTTTTAAATAAAAAAATAGGCCTGCTCCTCTGCCCGTGAGAGAAAAGATCCAGGTTTGAGAGGGGAAACTGCCAGAGGGGAAAGGGTTAAGCAGTGACCTCCCCCACCAACATTCCGTCACTCAAACTGGCAGCCTCCTGTAGCTTCCGTGCAGTTGTAAAAAAAATAAAAGTTGGGAGACTGTTACATGATGTGACTGCTGCGTAACATATACTTTAGCCCTGAAATTGCCGAAATGCTCACAAGGACTCATCATCGTGTCTAGTTCTGCAAATCCCATAGTGAGCCCAGAGTTCCAAAAGCAGGGTAGCAAGAGCAGACAAGGAGAAAGCATGCTCAGATTTATGGCGACACTGAGAAACAAGTTGATGCGACATTCCTCATCCTCTCTCTCTCTCTCTCTCTCTCTCTCTCTCTATCGTGTGTGTGTGTGTGTGTGTGTGTGTGTGTGTGTTGCCAAAGAACTAACTGGTGTCTATTCTTTGCCAACTTTCACATACGTCTCTATCATACACACGTCTTGAAGGAGAGGTGTTCTAAGGTGGAGAGGTCAAATACTTCTCAACGACCAGATTAAAAAGGAAAACAATTTTAAGAGAGGGGGAGAAATACCTGTTTTTTAAAAAAAAAATGAAAGAAAAGAGGAAAAGAAACAGCATCAAATAATAATATAAAAACCACCCCCCTTTTTTTTCTTTCTATCCTGAATGTATGCTGGTGCAGTGCTTAGGGGATTAATCTCTTAAAAAATAAGTGCCATGTGAGTAGACAGGCAGTGATTAAGGTTTTAACTGATCAGTCTGCATCTGACAGTGAACCAGCTATTATCTTAACGGAATCAAACGAACATTCAGAGCCTCTGCTCAGCCCCAAACATGAAAGGAGATGTCATCCTCTGGCAGTTGGCAAGCCACGAGGGGAGAAAGAAAGGGAGAGAGGGAGGAGGAGGAGGGAAGGCAAAACTAGGATGAGAAAGAACAGATGAGTGGGAAAGGTAGATGGGAAGAGAGAACCTTACAATATTGGGTTTTTGGGGTGGAGGACAGGGGCAGCATCTGTAGGTTGGAATGAGAGAACCAGAACGCCAAAAGGAAGAGACGCAAGATGATGATGCTGGTGGTGATTTCTTACCTACCCTTCACCATCAGGTCTCAGGGCAGATTGCAACAACTTAAAAATACAATATTAAAAACAATGCATATCACAGTGAAGAAAATAGAGAAATAAATATCTCAGGTGTCAAAGGCCAGGGTAGCGATTTTCTCTCTGCTTCACCTGTCAACAGTTCCCAAATGGCAAAATCTAACATTTTCATTAATGTAGCAGAGTTTAACGTATTCTTGGTCCCCCTTTCCCCAGTGGTTTTCTATTCTTTGAACTATTCATATTTTAAAGTGGGGTATGTGGAAAGAAAGAGTTTCCCCTTTTTCTTTTACATTTATGAAAGCAAATCCTGGAGGGGAAAGCAATCTGTATTTGGCTTTTTGGAATAATGACAATATTCAAAAGTAACTATTTTCTTCCTTAAAAAACAATCATAGAAAACAGAAGGAGCATGAAAGTGAAATGACAAAACAAACAAAACACACTGCGGTACTGCTCTGTAGTTATATGCCTTTTGAGCAGCCGTTTCATATTCCTAGTGATTTACCATTCCCTGGTGAAGTGCAGTGTGGAAATCCCTGCCTCGGCCTTTCCCACACTCACTGGAACGCCTGCTGCCACAGCCCCCTTTAAACCAGGGAGGTCTGGCACTCTTGAACCTGAGGTCGAAGATGAGAAGGAAGGAAAGAATGGCCTTCAGGCCAGGGTAAGAAACCAGGGCAACAGTGCTCTTAAAAGTGATAAAAGGGCTTTATCTAGAAGCACTTAAACAAAACCCACAAGGGCCAAGAGCAGAGACTCTGTTGAGTATCAGCCATGGCCATCGGGGAAACCGCAAATCCTTGACACAATATAAAGGCACTTTCTTTATACTGAGCAATTGGGGAAAACAGAACTGGCTGCCGTGGGGTCAGACAGGCTGTGGCAAGCTATCACTGGCCTCCTTACCTTGGCTGTGAGCTTCTAATTCACACTTAGCAACAATAGTGGAGTCTGGAGGGCAGGAGTCAATGGGCATTGTTAGCAGAGCTGCAGATGTGCAGCAGAATGGCAAGAGTCAACACAACTCCAGTTATTACCTCTTTGTTTCCTTGGCTCCTTGTTCGCTACCCGCATCCGTTTGTTGTCATGTCTTGTCTTTTATCTTAACAGCAAGCTCTTCTGTGCAGCAACTATTTTTGTTCTGTGCCTGGGGCAATCAAGAGCTAAGCCCCTGTTTGGGTTTCTACAGATTGCCGAAAAAGGAGACTATTACTTCTTGGTAATGATGATGAGTAAGTCGCTAGAAGGGCCGTAACTCAGTGACAGAGCATCTGTTCTTGCTTGCAGAAGGCCCCGGGTTCGATCCCTGCCATACCCAGGTAGGGCTGAGAGAGAATCCAGCCTGAAGGAGTTGCTGACAGACAATCTAAATAATACTGAGCTACATGGACCCATGGCCTGACTCTGTTTAAAGCAGCTTCCTAGGTTCTTAATGACACCTTTGCCTGGGTTACCTGTGAATTGTGGATTTCAGTACAGTGGTACCTCAGGTTACATACGCTTCAGGTTACAGACTCCGCTAACCCAGAAATAATGCTTCAGGTTAAGAACTTTGCTTCAGGATGAGAACAGAAATTGTGCTCCGGTGGTGCGGCGGCAGCAGGAGGCCCCATTAGCTAAAGTGGTGCTTCAGGTTAAGAACAGTTTCAGGTTAAGAACGAACCTCCGGAAAGAATTAAGTACTTAACCCGAGTTACCACTGTAGATCTATGTGAGTCTATGGCACAGGGCCTTGAAAGAGTTCGCATTCCAAACTTCTTTATATAACTCATTTGGGGCAAATTTAAAATGTCAGCACTATTTGGCCAGTTCCTTCTTTCCCAGAGTTGTGTGGAGATTCTGTGGCAAGGCAGTATTCTAAAACCTTCATGTAAATGGCAGGTGTCTCAGTTGAGAACATGTGGGAACCCACTAGCTTAGCCATGGAAGGTTCTGAAGTAACGACAAACCACATTTTGTGTTCCAGACATACTGGTAAACCATAGTTTGTGGGATTTTCTTTCTCTCCCACCTTTCCTAAGGGCCAAGCTACATGTTACACTGAATACTCTGTTTTAAAATGTGTGTAAGACCCGCCAGTTTTCTTTTTTAATGAAAAGCAGCTGCCCTGCCCTGAGCCAGTTCAAGACCATGATGCAGGAGAGCAGATTTAACGCTGTGCATTTTTAAAAATCAGAAAAACCACCCTTCCAGAGCTGCTAAATACCCCCAAGGGACCAGCTTACTGCTCATTCAGAGACAACAGACAAAAACAAATTCTGGGGGCAACCACTGAGACTTTATTTCCCCCTTTATGGGGAAAATAGCAATTTCAGGCAGTAGTTTTTGTATGCCATGTTGTGATGTTTATATTAAAAGATGGTATAAAAAGTAGTTTTAATAATAAATGAGTAAATAATAGTTTTGATAGGAAAAAACATGGGGGAAAGACCAGTGCTGTTGTTTTAGTTCAGATCAGAGTCTGACTTGACCCTTTTTTTGTTGTTTTTTAAGAAAGAGAAGTGCATTTATTTTAATATAAATGCAACTTAGTCCTGAAACTTCCCAGATGCTATCCTAAACAATGGCAATGTTCCAAATGATGCTTGGTACAGATGTAACACCAAACCAAAATTTGCCCCCCCCCCCCCCCAGCTTCAAACTAGTTTCAGATCCTGATTTGGTGGCCACTCAGAAAATGTGGTTTGTTGGATGATGTTGGTTTGGGCATCACAACAAACCATGTTTTCACATTATGTCCGAATCGCCTCTCTACTGAAGGCTCATGGTATGTAAAATAGTTGAATGTGCTATATCAGAGCTATCTTTGCCTACGATATGCACACTCATTTCTTTAATCCTGCTAACCCCTCTGAGTGAACAGGTTTTGCAGGTTTCCCAAGTACTGTAAAAATGTGCAAAACCTTTTTGATTAATGATGGATGTACACACAACGAGCAACTGATGGCTCTATCATGCCACTTTATGGGGGGGGGGGGGAGATGATCTGTCTCTCTTCTAAGGCTGCCTCCGCCACTCCCTAGAAATAATCTCCAGTGTTTGTGCTAAGGAAAATGGTAGTCTTTCTTCCATCACTTTGGTGGGTAACATAATTTTCATTGCAGCTGCTCTGAACTTTGGGCATCCCCATACGCAAGCATTATAAATCGCACCATGCTGAAAATATTTAAGAGCTGGGAGGATATGAATTTTGCTTCTGTGTAGAGTGGGATGCCAGGCTGTTATTCCTAACTGCTCTCCCTTCTGACTCTGTCTGCCCAGCTCTGCTATGCCAGGAGGGTCCTCAGTACTGCCAGGGTCATGACTGCCCCATTACAGGGCAAGATTTATCATTAGCAGGTGTGCTGCAGGATGGTATATTATCCAGGATTATGAACTGTAACAGGATAATCTCTCTAATGTAATTCAAGCTCTCGACATGGCTTATGGCTCCTTAATGTACCTCAGACTGAAGAATTACAAGAACATTCTTCCCCCTCCCTACCTTGTCAGCTCCTAAATGATTTAGGCAATCGCCTGAAGCCATATCTTGGCCTCCAGTCATAACTCAGCACCATTCAGTAAATATGATGGGGAAGGAGTTTTCTCTGCCTTGCTCTCTTCCCCCGTCTCCACTGTCTTTGCTCTTTACCTGCCTTAAGGGGGAGCCAGGATGTATCCTAATATCATGTACCTGCCTTGCTGTGATTTTTGCTCAATTTTTATTTCGTACATCTCGCCTTTGCAGTACTCAAGTGGCTGTCACTCAAACCTTTGAATGAAGGTCAAATTGTCCCCAACATATTGTCCTAGAAGCCTTAGCTCTGATACATCGTCACTAAGCAATTGTCACTGTGCAACAGTTAAGCTAGAGACAAAGAGCACCTGTCCTTCAGTGTACTTACAGAGCTGGTGTGCCATTTAGTTACTGGGCATCTTAGGTAACTGGGCATCCAATGCGCCCATGCCATGTGTTCAGGGATTAATAAGAAAGATTTCTGTCGGTGATCTGGGACATAGCAAGTAAGTCAACAGAAGAGGGAATAAAAAATAGGTATACTGGCATTTGGAATTCACTCCAAGAATCCTTATTAGTGGTAAGTTAGAAAATAATTTCAGGTTTTCTTATTTTGCTGTAAGCATCTTTGGATTTTGAGAATATGCTGAATAAGCATTATTTATCATTATCATTAGAATTCCACTCTTTATCCAGTGAACTCTAGGCAATATAAATGGGGCTATCTATCCTACAATAACCACATAAAGTAAGTTTGTCTGAGGGCCAGATTAGACACGACACCAATGGAAATTCTCTTTCCAATACAAATAGCAGGGGAGGAATCTGGAACACCCCCTTCCTTCAGAGCTGCTACTTGCTACACGAAAAGTAAGAATGCAACTGCCAGTTGCATGATTATTGTCACATCTAATAATGACTCTGAGAAACAGGATGAACGAAATAAAACTTTTAGCATTTACAAGAGAACAAAGCAAGCCTTCAGCTCTGTTGGTTTGATAACACCTGGTATAGTTTTCTCTCGTTATGTTTGGTGAAATGTGCACAAGCTTATGGACCTTGGGCAGCTTAAAATAAGCTTTTCTGGAGGTTGGATGTCAGAATTAAGAGTGTATGTTTGAAAGATTTTGTTAAACATGTGTAGTATTTTATTTTGCAGCTTTGCAAGACAGAATTAAACATGATTTAAGAGCATATATGGTATCTTACGATTATAGAAATCTTATTTCACAGTGTCTCATTGCCACAGAAAGTACAGTGGTACCTCGGGTTACATACGCTTCAGGTTACATACTCTTCAGGTTACAGAAATAGGACCTTGGGTTAAGAACTTTGCTTCAGAAAGAGAACAGAAATTGTGCTCCGGTGGCGTGGCAGCAGCAGGAGGCCCCATTAGCTAAAGTAGTGCTTCAGGTTAAGAACAGTTTCAGGTTAAGAACAGACCTCCAGAACAAATTAAGTACTTAACCCGAGGTACCACTGTATTTGATAAAACAAATCCCTGTCACCCATTGGAGTTGGAGATTCTGCTACTAGTTTCTGGTGAAGTTTGAAGTTCCCGTGTGCTGATTGCCACCAAATCACTTACACAGGTATGGTACCATTGATGGGTAGGTACCCTGCGTGCTGGGTACCCACACAAGCAAACCAGCCCCCAGAGAATGAGAGTCAAATTCAGTGTGAGGAATGTTCCCCCTGGCATCCCGTCCCATTGGAAGATTCTGATGGAGACCACAGTAAAGGCAAAGGATTATTAAAACTAACCCTGGCCCCCACACCACTGTCTCAAGAGGGCTTCCCCACTCCAAACTGGCTGTCATAGCGTCATAGAATTGTATTGATAGAATAAAAATAAATGGCTGCAAAGGCAAACTATTTGACAAACCACATAATGCCCAGTTTGGCCTTCAAGCACCCAGTGAAACACAAATAAACAGAGTGCTGGTGGATCCCGTTTCCCTGACTGAGGGAGGTCCTGCTTTTTTGGTTGAAAGAAAAATGGTGGGAATCAGGGAATTGAGAGAGGGAGAAAGAAGGAAGAGAAGGGGGAAATGGGGAGATGATCTGCAAGAACTAGTTCAAAGAGAACCAAAACATTAGATTGAAAAAAAGGATAAAACGTTTGCCATTGTTTAAAGGGGGGCAGACAGGCCAAAGGATGAGAGGTGCCTATGAATGTCTGAGCAGGAGCGAGAGGAGCACAGCGAAAAAGCAAAGAGTGTCCTCTTGAATTCTAGACGCTGCGCAAGTCTTGTTGAAGCATGACGCCCTCTCTGATCCCCTGACTGCAGGCCGGCACACCATCCAGTGAAATTTAGGCAGCTGTATTTACTGTTGCTATTTGTTGTTGCCCTGGCAGCTCCTGGGGATGTGAATTTTCTGTGTCACTGACTGAGAGGATTCTGAGCAGGTTTTCTGATGATGTGTTTTTTGTAAAACAAAGAGTTTTACAAGGGGGAGAGCGAAAAGAAAGGAGCCTCTGGCTGATGCCCTTAACTCTTTAGCTGCTGCAGTGCTGTGGCTGGAATGGAAACACCAGTTAAATTAGCTGAGAGCCCTTTATGGGTCCAGGCTCCAGTTGCAAACAATAAAAATGGTATTAGAAGCAGAATGATAACCCCTAACTCTTCACCAGAATGGTGTTTTAAAGTTCTACTCAAGATTCTTATTTTACCACTGTTTTTTGTTTATGTAGGTTTGCATCCCCAAATCTCAGGGTTGATTACTTTTTTTTTGTATAATATTTTTATTAATTTTCACAAAAACATTTCATTAAAAAAGCATAAAATAAAACATTTGGAACAACTATATACACAATCAGTATTGAATCCACAGTAAGGGATTACTTGAATGACTTTAAAAATGGAATAGTCAAACAGGACAGTTCCAAGAAGGGAGATGGAAACTGACTTTGTGAAAATGCGGTTTACAGAACAGAACAGGGCCAGTCCTACTTTAGGCAGGAAGAGATAATCTCCTTTATTGAAGGGTGACAGCTCAGTGGCGGGGCATCTGCCTTGCATGCAGAAGGACCCAGGTTCAACCCTCAGCATCTCTCAAGTAGGGCTGGGAATATTTCCTGTCTGAAATCATGGACAGCCACTTCCAGTCAGTGTAGACAAAACTGACCTAGATGAAGCAATGGTCTGACTCCGTATAAGGCAGCTTCCTGTGCTCCTGTAACTCAGATAGTGGATTTGGGGTATGATTAAAAGGCAGCAATTTGCCAACTATTTAGTGTTCTGTTATATGTTGTTGCAATGGACACCATTGGTATTGTCTGCCTCAACCACCAAAACATAACAGGACAGTACAGAGAGCTCATATGAGTAATCTTCCTGGATATATGCTGCACCCGGGAGCAGCTCAAAATTATCAGTAATTTTAATTTATACAGTGGTACCTCGGGTTACATACGCTTCAGGTTACATACGCTTCAGGTTACACACTCCGCTAACCCAGAAATACTGCTTCAGGTTAAATACTTTGCTTCAGGATAAGAACAGAAATCGTGCTCTGGCGGCACGGCAGCAGCAGGAGGCCCCATTAGCTAAAGTGGTGCTTCAGGTTAAGAACAGTTTCAGGTTAAGAACGGACTTCCGGAACGAATTAAGTACTTAACCTGAGGTACCACTGTATATATTTTTTATGTAAGCCACCTAGATATTTTGACAACTAAATGGTATATAAATTTTACTTTTTAAAATTAAAAAGGCTGCCATTGATTTATCTTCTTTTCTTTCTCCATTTAGTTCAAGGAAGCCATTTATTTCCTCCCTAGAAACATTGAAGAACATAATCCAAAACCCTTCATTACAAACCCCTTATGTTTCAGCCAAGGTTGTGTCCATATGAGCTGAATTGGTTCCATGAACTGGTTACCTAAGCCGTCCACTTGTGGAATGTGCCATTCATTGACATGCAGTTGAGTCAGGATCCCCACTACAGACTATCATAATGACCGGTGCCATCCCTGTGAATATGAGATTAAGTAGTGATGGCATCAAGCAGTATTTTGCTGCAAGGTTCCATAGAAGCAAAGTGCCCTAAGATTCTTTGTTCTATTTTGTCAGCACTTCCACAGCAAAAAGTTCAGATAGGGAAATGGCTACTTTCACCAGTTCAATATCTTCAGTCAAAGGTATAAAACCATGCTAAATCCATTGTATGCTAAAGGATTTTAGTACATATTTCTGATAGCTTTCTTTACCAGTGGTTTATAGTTATTTCTGTTGGACATTGAAGAAAATAACTTAAGATGTTTGGCTAGCTTCTATGTGTCTTGCCCCCAAAGGTTATGGAATTATTGTTTACCAGATCCATTTATTGCAATTAAATATTATTTGATGAATATGGGAAGCATCATTGGACACGTTCCTCATGGTTAAGCCGTCTTGCTAGATACTCTGGGCCAAGGTTGGTAAACTTCCATGGAGATTCTACAACATATCTTTCCATTTAAATTGAGGCTGGCCAATTATTTAACCCAAAGTATGATGAAATTAAACCCCTATCAACCTTCCCTGACAGGTAATAATAACCCTATTACCTGTATCTAACTATGAGTTCACTCCATTAACTTCTTTCAACTCATCACTACCCCAGCAATTCCCCTTCATGCACTCATTCCACCTTTTCCTAAAGGATAGCTCTTTTAAAGCTCAATGCATCAAATCCAATAATTGCCAGCTCATATTAATACAACCACCAAAGAAGCCACAAAAGTTCTTTTTCTTTTAGCATTGTATGGGATTCCAAAACTAGTGCACTAACAACTTTTGTTGGCCAATTATTTGATGGTGAGCATAATTTGTTCTAAATGCCTGCTTTTTTTGAAGTGCACTCAAAATTATGCCCCAGATACAGACTCACAAGGTTTCAATTTATTGGGTACCACACCCAGATTGACACACAATACTTCAAGATGCAATGCAACAGAGCTGAATGCCTTGAAAAAGGTGATATATAAATAAATTAATAACAAATAAACCAGTGATTTACACACATTGCAGTATGGAAACAATAACTTCTGTTCCAAATGTGGACAGGACTAAAATTCAGTTTCACTGGTTCCAATGGGGAGGTATTTAGCATATACTTAGCTCTCCCATTGGAATAAGTGGGGCTTAAAAGCTCAGGAGTTGCACAACCCTCAGTTTGGGTGTCTGATCCAGCCCCCCAGCAATTTTTTCTGCCCCCCAATGAAGGGTGAAAAATGTGGCGGGGAGGAATAAAAATGGTCTCCTTCCTGGTCATGATGTATGGCAACAACCCATGTTGGAGGAATCATTTTTGCCGATTTTCCTCAACAACTTTTTTGTCCAGATTTTCACTTTTTGGAACACGGCAACCCTAAAATATATACCAGTAGTAATGCTAAATATAAATTAAATAAATGTTAAATGTATTTGCCTATAGGAACTATACACACACAAACACCCCCCCCCCACACCTCAATCCTTTGGAAAACTAGGATATATATGTTGCACAAGGTTGTGTGTGCTGACAACGTAACTGGAAAGTTAGACTACTGTGTCTAAAAATGGGTTTCGCTTGGCTAAAGCATCTCGCGGTCATTATTGTATTCATACTTCCTAAACTTGATTATTGTAATGCTCATTTGCCTTGACTCCACTTGAACTATAATGGAAGATCAAAGAGGTTTGAGAACATCTTTTAAGCCAACTTCCCGGGTAAGCCAACAGCTGCTGAGGAGCATCTGGTTCAGGACCACTTATCCCTTAGGGATGATGATCTATGTTCTCAGAGTGATGATAGGACAGAAATTGACAAAAGCCATAGAGAGACTTGAGAGCCAGTCTATTATATTTGAAAGTAACATTTCAAGAGGACATATATAGGTTATTATAAGTAAATGCCAGAAGTCTCAAAGCAAACTAGAGTGCATTTTACTACATATACTCAAAGGTAGTAAGAGGAATATAATATTGGCGAATAAGTTACTGTTATTTTTATAATTCAAATCTGTATAAAGGACAGAGTAGATTGAACATAGAAATGGTGTTGCTTTATATGTGAAGTGGGCATAGCTTCTAACGAGATCTTAAAAGAAACACACTTGTCCACAGAACCAGCATAGGTTCTGCCTATTCCAGACCAAAAAAAGCAACACAGAAGCAAGATATACTAAGTCCCACATCGTGAACAAAACAATGATGGTAACCTTTAGTTGCAAAGAAAGGAAGGAAGCAGCCTAAGTAGAAAAAGTAATAAAAGTGGATGGCCTCAGATTCAGTGCTGGATTTATGTATAAACTAAACAAGCTATAGCTTAGGGCCTCACTCTCTTGGGGCCCCAATTTTTTTTAATGAAAACAACAACTGGATGTACATTTCCAAAATATAAGATAAAAAACAAATAAAATAAAACCTACATACAGCAACAGTGTTTTGTGTTGTGTAGGCTCCTATGATGTAGGTAATGGGCCCCACCTGCTAGCCTGCTCCCTAAAACATCACTGGTTTGCTCATTTCTATATACTATAGGGTGCCTACATTCTGCATGGACTGGTTGCATGACAACATGTGCAAATGGCTTTCGATACCTGTTAGGTCCATAAATTACCATATAGCATATATTCAACACATAAAACAGTGACAATTTGTTGTTGACAAAGGACAGCTGGACATATAAAGGGCCCCATTACCTTCAGTAGCTTAAGTCCTCATCAAATGTATATCCGGCCCTGCTCAGATTGACTGGATCAACGTACACATGAGTTATGACAAGTAGACAAAATCTCTAGAGAGAATAAATTGTTCTGCTTTCAAAAAGTTCCTTGTGAAAGCACAAAAATGTAAACTGTAGTTGGGATTTAATTCTAGCCAATGTCTACAATCTAATGGAAACTGTAAGTATTAGATTTATTGGAAATAGCGATAACATATATGTGGATGAGAAAGTGCCCAGAAAGTAGGGATGGGCTGATCGGTCGATTTCTAGTCTATGTAATTTTCACATGTGCTTATTTGTAAATCCATTCCATTCCATTTCCACATTAATTTGTAGTTGTTGATTTTTTAAGCCCATACATACATTCCTTTGTGATTTCAAATACATATATTATTTTATTTATATTCCACTTTTCCTTCAAGGAGCTCAAAGTGGTGTGCTTGTTTCCCCCTTTCCCCCCTTTTCTCCTCATAACAGTCCTGGGAAGTAGGCTAGGCTGAAAGACAATGATGGGCCCAAGGTCACCTAGTGAGCTTCATGGCTCAGCGGGAATTTGAACTCAGGCTTTTCAGGCCCTATTTCCAAAAGCCTAAGCACAACACCACAAAATACTTATTTAAATATGTATTCTATCTCAATGTACACATTTTAAATGTATTTTATCCTAAAATTTACATTTTAAATTAATCTTGGTGTTGTTATTTTTGAGCTGATAACTATTATCACAAAATTTAGAGAAGTGCAAAATCTTAAGAATAATTACATTACCATCAGTGTATTAGTCTGGGAGGTGCAAATTAGGTTTGTTCACTTAAAAAAATGCAGACCAAACATCATTTTCATCAATTCCTTTCAGAAAGTCCATCGCAACAGTTAAAACGTGAATATTTTAATATTTCTTTAACATGGTAGGATTTGTTAAAATGAAGCTGAAAGCTACAATTGGGAGGGGTCAATCCATGAGAAAACTTGGAAGTTATTAAACTACAATACAGGCTCAAGTAAAATGTGTGCCTCACATTAGAAAAGGTACAAACAAGTGTAGAAGGATGCTAGCATGGCTAAATAGTAAGGAAGGAGGCTATGAAAACCAAGGCGGCTTTCTTTAAGAAATGGAAGTCTGTTCTAAATGAAGAAAATAAAAAAGAGCATACAGACTCTGGCAAATCTAAATCTAAAATAAGTCAAGTTGAGGTACAAGCTGCTAAAGATGTTGCCAAAGTTTACCTGGCTTGGAATATGAATTTTTCCAGATCCCTATGCTCAGCTGCATTATGAATCAAGCACTATCATAGTAACTCTTTCAAGCCTCTGCTACACCTGCTCTGGTCTCCTACTGCCACAATTTTTGCTCCTCCTCCTCCTTTGTCTTCTTTTGCTTCTCTACAGTAATCACATTTCCTTCCAACTGAAAGGGGCTAAGAGCTTTTTTCAAAACAGACAATGCACATAGTAATAATTTAATTTTGAATAGCAAAGTGATAAAGGAAGTAGTGAAGCTAGTAAGGCTGTACCCCATGTCTTCAGGGAGTCCTGAGAATTTCTTGCGGTACAGCAGGGCAGCAGCTGAAGAAGGAGCAAAAAGGGTTTTCTTGTGTGTGTGTTTCTTTGTGGCTGATTAGCTGCTCTCCCTATGCAAATGTCAGAGGGGGCAGGGTTTCTGTTGAGGCAGGTGATTAGCTGTGGGAGGAGCTTATCATAGCTTGCTGGGGAGCGGCGCACGCAGTTTGATCCATCTTTTAGATTTAGGGGAGCTAGTCTCAAACGTTTGTTGGGGGAGACCTTGGCTTTTTTGGGGGGGGGAGTTATTTGTCCTGTCTTCACGCTTTTTATGATGGAGGACCGCTGTAGCCACCCCCAACGACACGTTCTCAAGATGGAGGGGGAGGGAACAGCTGCAGTCGCCTGCGGTTCCTGCGCAATGTTTGCCATCTTGCCAAAGGTTGCAGGCAGCTTTACCTGCAGCAATTGCATGTTGATTGCCCTCTTAGAAGACAAAGTCCAGCAACTGGAGGAACGTGTAGCTACGCTCCAAAGAATTAGAGAGCTGGAGCTCTTCTTGGAAGCAACAGAGCACACCGTCTCCATCAAGGAGGAGACAGGGGACTCCCCTGAGAAGGAGGCTAGTTCACCAACACAGGAGCCAGATATATGGAGAAACGTGACTCAAAGAAGTAGGAGGCCCAGGGTTCGCTCTGATTGTTTAGAAATACACAATCGCTTTGAGGTCCTCTCCCCTAGCATGGAAGACGAAGAGCAGACTCCATTTGAGGATCTCTTCCCTCATTACAGTCGATCAGGTATATGAAGACAAGCAGCGAAGTCAGTCCTCAGGGAATGTGCAGGCGACCTTGGAACGGACAGCTCATGGAAGAACCCCGACCAAACCTAAGAGGAGGCGTGTAGTGGTGATAGGGGATTCCCTACTGAGGGGAACAGAAGCAGTGATCTGTGGGCCTGACAAGATGTCTCAGGAAGTGTGCTGTCTCCCGGGGCTAAGATCCAAGATGTAACTGAACGACTGCAAGGAATCATAAAACCCACTGACAAATACCCCTTCCTCTTGGTTCATGTGGGAACCAATGACACTGCAAGCAATAGCCTCCAGAAGATCAAAAGAGACTACGAGGCTCTGGGCAGGAAATTGAAGCAATTAAATGCACAAATTGTCATCTCATCTGTCCTCCCAGTTGAACGACGTGGCCCAAGGAGAGAGGGAAAAATAGTGGAAGTGAACAGCTGGCTTCGCAAATGGTGTAAACAGGAACGGTTTGGATTCTTAGATCACGGACTGCAGTTTCTTGAAGATGGACTTCTGGCAAGCGATGGGCTGCACCTCACAACGGTTGGGAGGAATTTTTTGCCAAAAATCTCAGAAACCTCATCAGGAGAGCTTTAAACTGACTAATGTGGGGGAGGGAGACAGTGCTCCTGAAGGTAGGAGTCTATCAATTGATGAAGATGATCATCCAAATGTCATAGACCAAATGGAGCAAACAGCACGCAGACCTAGTGGTGGGAGGAAAAATCCTTAAATAAGAGACACGGGGAATGATTAATGGACTTCAATGTCTGTACACTAATGCGCAAAGCATGGGAAATAAACAAGATGAGCTTGAGCTCTTGGTACAGCAAACTAAATATGACATAATAGGCATCACTGAAACCTGGTGGGATAAGTCCCACGATTGGAATGTAATAATGGAGGGATACAATCTATTTCAGAGAAACAGACCAGACAAGAAAGGAGGAGGAGTGGCGTTATATGTCAGGGATGTGTATACCTGTGAAGAGATCCAAGATTTAGAACCTCAAAGCCAAAGTGAGAGCATTTGGGTCAAAATTAAGGGAGAGAAGAATAACAGTGACCTCATTGTGGGAGTTTACTATAGATCCCCAAGCCAAACGGAGGACATAGATGATGCCTTCCTGGAACAGATGGCCAAGCATGCAAAAGGAAGGAGATAGTAGTAATGGGGGACTTCAATTACCCGGATATTTGTTGGATGTCAAACTCAGCCAAGAGCATAAGGTCAAACAGATTCCTCACTGGCCTTGCAGACAACTTCATTGCCCAGAAAGTGGGAGAAGCAACAAGAGGAACAGCCATTTTAGATCTGGTCCTAACCAATGTTGATGGCCTGGTTAGTGGGGTAGAAGTGGAAGGATCATTAGGCGCGAGTGATCATGCTCTTCTGAAGTTTACTATACAGCGGAAAGAAGCAGCCAAGCATACTAGGACTCAATTTCTTGACTTTAAGAAAGCCGACTTCATAAAACTTAGGGAAGTGCTGGGTGAGATCCCATGGACAGTAATACTAAAAGGAAAGGGAGTTCATGATGGCTGGGAGTTTGTTAAGAGGGAGATAGTAAAAGCACAACTTCAGGCAATACCAATGAGACGGAAACATGGAAGGTGCCTAAAGAAGCCAGGGTGGCTATCTAAAGAACTTTTAACTGAGTTAAGATTTAAAAAGGATGTGTACAAAAAATGGAAAAGGGGGGAAACCACCAAAGAGGAATTCAAACAAATAGCCAGCACGTGTAGACACAAAGTCAGAAAAGCTAAAGCACAGAATGAACTCAGGCTTGCTAGAGAGGTTAAAAGCAACAAAAAAGGCTTTTATGGGTATGTTCGTAGCAAAAGGAAGAACAAAGAAACAGTGGGGTCACTCAGAGGAGAAGATGGTGAAATGCAAACAGGGGACACAGAAAGGGCTGAACTCCTCAATGCCTTCTTTGCCTCAGTCTTCTCGATAAAGAAAACAATGCCCGACCTGAAGAATTTGGAGCAAATGATTCAGCAGAGGAAACACAGCCCAGAATAACTAAGGAGATAGTACAAGAATACTTGGCTAGTCTAGATGTATTCAAGTCTCCAGGGCCAGATGAACTGCATCCAAGAGTATTAAAAGAACTGGCAGATGTGATCTCAGAACCACTGGCAGTCATCTATGAGAATTCCTGGAGAACAGGCGAAGTCCCGGCAGACTGGAGGAGGGCAAATGTTGTCCCTATTTTCAAAAAGGGGGAAAGAGAGGACCCACATAATTACCGCCCAGTCAGTCTGACATCAATATCAGGGAAGATTCTGGAGCAGATCAGGGAGAAATGTAAAGTATTGCACTTCGGCAAAAAAAATGAGAGGCACAAATGCAAGATGGGTGACACCTGGCTTGAGAGCAGTACATGTGAAAAGGATCTAGGAGTCTTGGTTGACCACAAACTTGACATGAGCCAACAGTGTGATGCGGCAGCTAAAAAAGCCAATGAAATTCTGGGCTGCATCAATAGGAGTATAGCATCTAGATCAAGGGAAGTAATAGTGCCACTGTATTCTGCTCTGGTCAGACCTCACCTGGAGTACTGTGTCCAGTTCTGGGCACCACAGTTCAAGAAGGACACTGACAAACTGGAACGTGTCCAGAGAAGGGCATCCAAAATGGTCAAAGGCCTGGAAACGATGCCTTATGAGGAACGGCTAAGGGAGCTGGGCATGTTTAGCCTGGAGAAGAGGAGGTTAAGGGGTGATATGATAGCCATGTTCAAATATATAAAAGGATGTCACATAGAGGAGGGAGAAAGGTTGTTTTCTGCTGCTCCAGAGAAGCGGACACGGAGCGATGGATCCAAACTACAAGAAAGAAGATTCCACCTAAACATTAGGAAGAACTTCCTGACAGACAGACAGAGCTGTTCGACAGTGGAATTTGCTGCCAAGGAGTGTGGTGGAGTCTCCTTCTTTGGAGGTCTTTAAGCAGAGGCTTGACAACCATATGTCAGGAGTGCTCTGATGGTGTTTCCTGCTTGGCAGGGGGTTGGACTCGATGGCCCTTGTGGTCTCTTCCAACTCTATGATTCTATGATTCTAGTATAGGGAATTGGCAATCCAGGAACTATGCAACCCAGGAGCAACAGGCAGACATGTCCTGCAGAAAGGTGGGGTCACCAACCGCTCCTCTGCACTAAGCTGGGCAATAAGGTTAGGCTTGGATACAATGCTAACCTCCGATTTGGCATGCTCATCATCCCTGCCCATTGGTCTTGATGGCTGGGACTGGTGGTGAATTGTAGTCCAAAAGATCTGGAGGGCACCAGGTTGGGGAAGGCTGGTTTTGCCTTACATATGTGAACCTCAGAACTATGATTAGGGCAACAAGCCAGGATCAGAAACCAGGGTGTTGAAGGTGGCTTGTTTCCCTAAGCCATCATTAAGATGAGTCACGTTTTGTCCAGAATTGGACATAATGGCAAATTGCAGTTAGATTAAAATGTACAAGCCTTGTGTAGAAGCATCCACCCAGCTGGGAACCCCAAATGTGCAGGGGTCCTGACTACATGAAAGCCCATATGCAAACAGCTGTTCAAATGCAGACTTCCTCAGTAAATATCTGCACCAAAACATGTACATGGGGGGGGCAGCAGTGTGCCCCCATTTCCTGATAATCACATGGAACAGCCAGTGTGGTGTAGTAGTTAAGAGCAGTAGACTCGTAATCTGGTGAACCGGCTTTGCGTCTCCGCTCCTCCCCATGCAGCTGCTGGGTGACCTTGGGCTAGTCACACTTCTTTGAAGTCTCTCAGCCCCACTCACCTCACAGAGTGTTTGTTGTGGAGGAGGAAGGGAAAGGAGAATGTTAGCTGCTTTGAGACTCCTTCGGGTAGTGATAAAGCGGGATATCAAATCCAAACTCCTCTTCTTCTTCTTCCGTGTCTTCATACCAGTCCTCTGCATTTTTGAAATGCTCTTCAAGGGCAGCCCCACCTTTACTGTATTACGGTAATCTAGCCAGATGTTTAACTAGAGCATGGATAAGTGTGGCCAGCATCTTCTCTCCAGAAACCCCAAATCTGCTGCTAAACCCCAAATCTGCTGCAGAATTATGCTTCTTTCTGGAGTGTTGTGACAATGAGTCCAGTTTGGTTGGCAGAAGGAAGGGTGGGGGAATCTGTTACAGAGTGCCTAGGAATAGGAAGGATTTAATTACTGTTGGCAGCAGAAGGGGGATCAGAGACAGGAGAGCTGGGCAGGCGGGAACATCCAGGTCAGGAAGCTGAGTGGGAAGAAGGCCCAAGAGACAGAAGGGAAGAAGGAAAGGGAAACGAGTCGGCGGCAGTCTGAGAAGCAGGGAGGCAGAGAGGACGGGCGGAGGAGGCAGAGGCTTAATTGGAAGTTGGTGGAAAAGGGAGCGGTGGAAAAACTAGGGCCTAAGGAGAGGTGTGTCCTGTTGGCATGAAGGAAACTGACAGGCAAGCAAGACTGCTTGATGAACTCTGGGCCAGGAAACCAACTGAGCAGGAGGGCAAGAGGCCAGTTTGGGAGGGCTTGGATTTCAAACACTGGTTTGGGTGAAGTGGCCAGATTCCAGGCTGCAGGTCTCTGGTTCAAAGCTCCAGTAAAAGCTGCAGATTAGCCTTTTCCTTGTGAAGCCCCGGCATGAACTTCTACCTATTTGAAGGTGGCAAAGAAGCCTCACGCTTACAGCTCTTTCTTCCAGCAGGGCAAGACAGATGATAGAAGCCAGCTGGCTTGGTATATTACTAACAAAGCAAATGGCTGGGTTTCAGCTGGCTTAGGCTGAGAGATCCCACACAGGAGATCTGATTTCCCCTCCCCTCAGGCACTTATGGTGGTTGGTTGCTGTGTTTTGACTCCGCGTCTCCTTTTAGCTCTCTTGCTAATGTTCTGCCTCATTCCCTGGATGCCATTCAGTTTGCTGCTCGCCTACTTCCTATTGGGTTGTTAAGAGAATCTGAGACATTTGTCATCATCACTTGCTTCCTTTCCCTGCTCCAGTTCTGGGATTTCCCCAGGTAAGGAACTCCCTCTGCTAGCTTAGAACGAATTCTAGCCAAGAGGGGAGCAGCCTTGGTCTAAAGATGGCCCTAGACGACGCTGCCAATAAGCTGGAGGGCATGCTGCGGACCCATGGGAGGGACCAGAGGAATTATCAGCCTGTCCACTTGGCTTCTGAAGGAGTCGGGAGCTGTCTGAAAATAGACAGCACATTGGGGGAGATCGGCGGTAGGGCCTGTGGGGAAGGTGGCAGCCCAAGAGCAGGCAAACAGGCTGCGTATAGAGTTCATCTCTCTGGAGATCTGGGTTTCTTCTTTCTCAATGCTTTCACTCATTTCCTTGAGCTGCAGTCAGATATTTATTTAACCTTGCAACTGAACTGCACCGAGAATGCCAAGTGCTGGAGCTGCAAGTGCTCTCACTGATGCTGTGTTTACATATCCAGGCATAAATTTGTTACTCTCTCACATGTGTGCACATATGCGCATATGCGCGCATGCACACACACACACACACACACACACACTTAGAAATTCCATTCACACGCCCCTGCAGAATATACACCTTGGCACAACAGCATATGCACACAGGAACAGACCGTTAAAATCAGCAATCATTGCGATTTAACCACAAAATACCTTCACAGTGGGACCTGTGTATTATATACATGCATGCAAGAGTTCCAGTGCAATTCATATACCCACCTGCCTAGTGTTTACAACTGGCTAACATTTTTAGAATGAAAATATTAATTTACAGCAAATTGATAAGCCTTACATTTTTTTTAATGACAAAATATCCAGTTCCAACAGTTCACTAGTAGATCTTTTTTTAAAAAACACACACCATATTTTTATTAAAGATTTCTTGGTTTACAAAAGTATGTGCAATGTCTCTTTTTTCAAGTTACATTTTCTACAAATCAGTTTCGTTTGTTGAGACATTAGTGTTACATTAGGAAGAAAAGGGGGAAAGAGGTGGAGGGGGGGATGGTGAGTGTCAGGAGTGCATGCAGGAGCCAGGCCCTGTGACCAATAGGACTTTGCAGGACTGGGGCCTTCCTAAGTTTGTTCTGAAGAGGCAAGGCCGCACAGGTGAGGCCAATTGGTAACTCACAGCACCTGGTGGCAAGAGCTGGGAAGGGATATAAGGTCAGCATTTGCCTTCTCCTCTTTGCCACAGCAACACGTTCCCTGCCTTGCTGCGTTTGGCTCCTTGACTCCTTGCTTCTTGATCCTTGATCCTCAGACCCTTGGCTTCTTGACTCCCGGCTCTCTTGACCCTCGGACTTTGGCTTCCTGACTCCTGGCTTCTGGACTCCCGTTCCTGCTCCCACCTCGCCGTCTTGCCCCCGGTCCCGACGTCCCCAGCCAGGACTTCGATCGCCTGTGAACTGGACCATGACAGTGAGTGGGGTTGGGGTCGGATGGCAATGCTTCTGTTCTGCTTAATGTATGTGTAGGGTTTTGTGTCAGTGTCGCTTGTGCAGGTTCTCTTTACTATTTGCTTGTGTTCCTTTGGTGGTGAGAGAGGTTGGGGTTGGTCTAGGGTGTGGCTGTTTGTTTGTTTGTGATTGGCTGTGGTGAACTTTGTTTTCATCTGTGAGTGGGGTGGGTGGGTGTTTTTGTATCAGGTTAGCCATATTGATTTGTATGCTGTTGGCAGATTCTTGTCGTCATTGTGTTGGGCTGTGTATGTGATATAGGGAAGCCATACTGGGGTGAAGGCGTCTTCTATTTGTTCCTGTGTCAGTTTCAGTTTATTGGTTAGCTTTTCTAATAAGGCTGTTTCCCATGCTATTTGATACCATTGGTCCATGCTGACTCCTGACAGGTCTCTCCAGTGTCTGGCTATGATGTTTCTGGCTGCTGAGAGTAGGTGGGTTATGAACTCTTTACAATGTGAGCGGGCATTATTCTCTTGGAAGATGTTTAGTAGGGGCTAGTAGATCTTAAAGACATGGGGAACTTGCAGGGGAGAAGACTGTCTCTGAGATACTCAGGAGAATTCAGACCATAGAGAGTTTCAAAGGTCACAATTAGCATATTTAAATTAAGGCTGGACTCTTTAAACTTAAGCTAGTATAGGCAACAAACACACATTTAAAACACATCCCCCCAAAAGAATCTTGGGAATGGTAGTTTACTCCTCAGGGAGCTATGATTCCTAGCATCATAGCCAATGGGGTTAATCCGGGGTGTGATTATTGCTAATTGAAAATGGTTCTCAAGATTCTTTGGGGTGGGGAGATGCATTCTTAAGTGTCTGGTGTGTAACCCTATAACAAATGCAGATGTTTTAGAATGGGTGTGATGTGCTCACCAACAGATAGCATCACTGTGCACTAGCCGTACTTTCCTAGTCACTTCAAAGTGCAGCCCCACACAGACTGCATTACAGTAGACTTTAAGGCACAAATGATGGTAGCCGTGTAATTTTCAGCAGTGGGCATAGTTGGTGAGATTGGTCAAAGGCTTTCCTGACCACAGTCAAAACCTAAGATTACAGGGACAATGCTGAGTCCAGGTGAGTTGCAATGCTAGGGTTATGAACCTGCTCCCTTAACTAGAGCCTAAAGGGAGCTCTGTTTTTGACAGTCATTCCCCTAGCATTCTGGTCCTCTACCATCATCCCCAGCTATTACTGACAGATGGGCTGATGTGCAGATTATACTAGTTATTTGTGCAGCTAGATAGAAATCATGTGAAACAACTAGTATAGATATATCCAGAGTACATGCCTTTTATAAGCAATATGGGGTGGGGGAAGCCACCACTGAATCGCTTGAACTTTGTCCTGCACATCGCTCTATAAAACCCCATGAAACATTAGGATCAAAATGTGATTTTCCTGGAAGGAGACCCATCTCTTACTAAATCAACCAGACTGTTCTCTGAGGCAAAGGAGTCAGCGCTGACTCACGAGGGAAAGTGTCTTGCACAATCATGACAATACTTCCCTTAGCAGCAAGAACTTGCATTTGACTTCAAACAGCTTTCACCTGCAAGAGCCAAAAACAAACAATTGAGATTTACTGGGTGGAGGCCACCAGAACATTCTCCACCCTGTCTGATGCTCTAAGAAAAAAATCTCCCCTCAAAGAGCTCAGAAGAGCCAGATGTAAACAGCAGCTTCCAATAACTAGGGAGCGTAGAGTGCCAGTCCAGAAGAAGCTGTTCAGGACTTTATTTGACAGCTCCCCAAGACCAAAAAAAGAAAAAAACAGACTAGAAGATGGCGCCACCTGATGACTTCTACTTTCAGTAGGGATGAAAGGATTTGTCATTTTCAGTTCTCAGTTCCTCATTTTTCCAATCTTAAAATCAGTCTTCCACATTTCTACAGCAATTTCTCATACACACACAAACACACACACCCCGTCATGAAAATTATTCAGCATTTTAGTGCAAATTTCTCCTAATACACATTTTGTGTGCAGTTTGGACTAATGCATGCATTTTGCAAGCAATGTCTCTTAATATGATATTTTTACTAAGATATGCATTTTTGAAAATATTTGTTAAACTGCATTGCAAATTTAAGATATGTGCAATTTTTGAAGGGTGGCTGTATTGGTTCTTGCATTGCTTTAGAAAGTGCCAATTTGATATAGGTAAAGGTAAGGAACCCCTGACCAGTCCAGTCATGCCCGACTCTGGGGTTGCGGCGCTCATCTCGCTTTATTGGCCGAGGGAGCCGGCGTACAGCTTCTGGGTCACGTGGCCAGCATGACAAAGCCACTTCTGGTGAACTAGAGCAGCGCACGGAAACACTGTTTACCTTCCCGCCGGAGCGGTACCTATTTATCTACTTGCACTTTGAGGTGCTTTCGAACTGCTAGGTTGGCAGGAGCAGGGACCGAGCAACGGGAGCTCACCCCGTCGCGGGGATTCGAACTGCCGACCTTCTGATCGGCAAGTCCTAGGCTCTGTGGTTTAACTCACAGCGCCACCCGTGTCCCGCCAATTTGATATATCCGGCTTTAAATGTGAACCGACTAAAATATCTCTGCCTCCCCTAATCTTCAGTCACAGTTTTGGTGTACATTTCACAGTTGTGATATTCATGAAACACAGGCAACTCCCATTTTAGGCACAACCAATATGTGTGCAATCGCACACACATGCACAGTGCCGAACGTGGAAGTGACCTGGAAATGTCATAAATGGGGGGTTGCCCATATTTACAAAATGAAATTCATCATTTGGCCAATTTGCCAATTTGGATACAATAAAGGAACTGGAGGCCCCTCGACTCCTCGGGTCCAGTATTGGACCACTTCAACCGGCTATCCCCAGCCAATGTGGACAGACTCCTCCGAGCTGGAAAGCCCACCACCTGTCCTCTCGACCCGTGCCCGTCTTGGCTGATTAGAGCGTGTCCAGACGAGGTGTGGGCCCTCCTGGGGGATATCATCATTTTGTCCCTTGGCACGGGACAATCCCAGGGGAACTGAAGGAGGCAGTGGTGTGCCCGCTCTTAAAGAAAACATCATTAGATCCTTTAGATCTATCCAATTACCGCCCGGTTTCGAATCTTCCGTTCCTGGGTAAGGTGATTGAGAGAGCGGTTGCTGAACAGCTTGGTGGGTTTCTGGATGAAACATCGGCTCTGGATCCATTCCAGTCCGGCTTCCGCGCTGGTCATGGGACCAAGATGGCTCTGGTTGCCCTAACAGGTGATCTTCGTAGACAGCTGGATCGAGGTGGGTCGGGGCTGCTGATTCTTCTAGATCTGTCAGCAGCTTTCGCCATGGTCGATCACGAACTTCTGGACCACCGCCTTGCCGACGTGGGGATCCAGGGCACAGTCCTTCAATGGCTGCACTCGTTTCTCTCTGGTTGGGGACAGAGGGTGGCGCTTGGGGGGGGGGGAATTGTCATCGCCCCACTCCTTGGTGTGTGGAGTACCTCAGGGTGCGATACTCTCCCCGATGCTTTTCAACATCATTATGCGCCTCCTCGCCCAGCTTGTCCGGAGTTTTGGGCTGGGTTACCATCAGTATGCTGATGACACCCAACTCTATCTGTTGATGGATGGCCATCCTGACTCGGCCCCAGACACACTGACCAGATGTTTGGAAGCTGTGGCTGGATGGTTACGTGGGAGCCGGTTGAAGCTAAATCCTTCGAAGACAGAGGTCCTGTGGCTGGGATGGGACGATATGGGATTGGGGGGGCAACTCCCATCTCTTGCGGGGGCGCAATTAGTGCCAGCACCGTCCGTTAAGAGTTTGGGTGTAATCTTCGACACCTCCCTTTCCATGGAGGCGCAGATTGCAGCTACAACAAAGGCGGCATTTTTCCATCTGCACCAAGCTAAGCAGTTGGCTCCTTACCTCTCTCGCCCTGACCTAGCCACTGTGATCCACACGACGGTCACCTCCAGACTGGATTATTGTAACTCGCTCTACGTGGGGCTGCCCTTGAGACTGACCCAGAAACTCCAGTGGGTGCAGAATGCTGCAGCGAGCCAGGGCTTTTTCGGCCGTGGCTCCGATCTGGTGGAACACTCTGTCACAAGAGACCAGGGCCCTGCGGGATTTGACATCTTTCCGCAGGGCCTGCAAGACAGAGCTGTTCCACCAGGCCTTTGGCCAGGGCACAGCCTGACTCCCTCCCTCGGCAATCTTCGCGGAGCTCTGGCCCAATGCTTGCCAGTGGCTTGAATTAATTAATTTTATAATGAATGATTTTAGAGTGTTGTTTGTGCTGTACTTTTGTACTGTTTTATTGTTGTTAGCCGCCCTGAGCCCGGCTTCGGCTGGGGAGGACGGGATATAAATAAAATTTATTATTATTATTATTATTATTATTATTTATTATCAGACAACTACCAGACATTACACACTGTGAACTGAACCGAACATGGCATTTTGGACAGATTTAGGGGCCAACTCTGTGGCTATGTGTGTTTTTTGTGTTGACTTTTCTCCTTTTCTGTTGCTGCCTTCAAATGCTAGGCGTGGCCATTTACCTGAAACACTCACCCAGCTGGGTCTTCTTCTGCCCCTGTAACAACCATACAACATGAACAATGGTTGATTGCAGGACTTGGGAACCAATATGACACCCAGCTAATAGCACCCAATGAGCCAGATGTTACACACAAAGAAACAGTGGGAGCCAGTAAAAGTTGGCAACCCCATTGCCAATGCAGAAGCCTTGGAAGGAACCTCAGCACAGGAGCCTGATAAGGGGGGGAAAGGCTGGCAACCCTTATTTCTGACCTTGTTTCAGCCACAAAAGGCATGCTACGTTGTATGTTAATTCATGCCCTTCTAGGGTATGTGAATTCTTATTAATAATAATAATAATAATAATAAATTTTATTTATATCCCGCCCTCCCCAGCCGAAGCTGGGCTCAGGGCGGCTAACAACAATTGAAATAATCTAACATTCTAAAAACATTCATTATAAAATTAATTAAAATCAAATTAAAATCAAATTGATGGCAACCATTAAGCAAAATTCTGTGCAGATTGCCAGGGGAGGGGGTCAGGCTGCGCCCTGACCAAAGGCCTGGTGGAACAGCTCTGTCTTGCAGGCCCTGTGGAAAGATGTCAGGTCCCGCAGGGCCCTAGTCTCTTGTGACAGAGCGTTCCACCAGATTGGAGCCGCGGCCGAGAAAGCCCTGGCTCTAGTTGAGGCCAGCCTAACCTCTCTGTGGCCTGGGATCTTCAGGATGTTTTCATTTGCAGACCGTAAATTTCTCTGTGGGACATACCAGGAGAGGCGGTCCCGTAGGTACGAGGGTCCTAGGCCGTATAGGGCTTTAAAGGTTAAAACCAGCACATTAAACCTGATCCTGTACTCCACCAGGAGCCAGTGCAGCTGGTATAGTACCGGATGAATATGATCTCGCAGCGAAGACCCCATAAGGAGTCTCGCCGCGGCATTCTGCACCCGCTGGAGTTTCTGGGTCAGTCTCAAGGGCAGCCCCACGTAGAGCGAGTTACAATAGTCAAGCCTGGAGGTGACCGTCGCGTGGATCACAATGGCTAGGTCATTAAGGAGGATGTCCCTTTCTTTTCCCATTGAGTTTTTCATTATCAGTTCCAAATTTGCCTTTTGAGACAGTTCTAGGCATAGCCTTCTCAAAATGTAATCAAATTAACCCCAAAAAGGCTTAACATATTGCATTATGGGTAGTCCATGTTCATCAAGCTCCAAATACCCTTAATAGACGTATTATTTAGACAATATTGATATGGTATGGTACCCAACCCTATCCTTTGTTAGTTCCAGCATCACCTCTACCTTGGAGTTGGGTGGCTTTCAGTGGCAAAGTAGTGGACATAAGTCCCAGTTTTTTCTCTTCACTAGAATAAGCATATAGTCTATGCAGTTGAAGCTACTATGCCATGTTACAAGTTCACAGCTGGCAATAAATACCAATGACCCTGACCGACAGGGTTGGAAGAGGCCTTGAAGGACAGCTAGTCCCCTGTTCAGTGCAGGACAGCCACAGGTGAAGCATTCGTCAGTACTCTGCCTGTACATCTCCCCCCACAGGGTTTCAGTTTGTAAATATGAACCAAACATCCCGTATGGTAAGTTCATATTTCCTCACAGTGTAGAATCGGTGAAAAAGCTGAGAAAGAGAGGGAAAGAGTCCTCCACTTTTAAGCACTTTTTGGAATTTATGGCACAGGAAGGTTTCAAGCTCTGGACTGTATAAGCTATTGAATTGTGTAGTAACTATATGCAAACTTAGTCAAATGTAAGCCATATGTAAGGACTTGGGTTAGGGCAGAGAGGAGTTCTCTGCTAAATTCCAATGTTAGCTGCAAAACCATTTTACTCACCAGTTGCCATTTCAGCACTGCAAGTAAATAATTATTATTCCGTTTAAAGCCACATTGTGACTCAGTTGCATTCCCTGGTTCCCCCAAGTAACTGTGTACTGTTTCGGGATGAAGGAGAAATTAGATTCAGTTTGCATTTAAATAAGAACTTCAAAATCCGCCCCTCACCAAATTTTGTAGTTCAGTTCTCCAGCCAAGTAATCTGCACAGAAATGCGTATGTTGGTGTAAAGCAGGGGTAGGTATATCTATACCAGTTGTTTCACATGATTTCTTTCTAGCTGCACAAATAACTAGTATAATCTGCACATCATCCCATCTGTCAGTAATAGCTGGAGATGATGGTAGAGGACCAGACTGCCTGTCAAAAACAGGGCTCCCACTGTAAAGCATGCGTATAGTTGCATATATCATACAAAAATGTATTATAATAGGAAAATTTGCTTGCAAAAAAATTGTGGATTAGGCAAAAGCGCATATACATATCTGTGTATTAGGATAAATTGGTGCTAAGGTACTGATTAATTTTTATGAGGACTTAAAAATAGTAATCATAAACTGATGTGGAAATGTTGTGAACCAAATTCAAGATTGGGAAAATGAGGAATGAAAATTGACATATTTGCCCATCTCTAGTAATGATACAGTGAAAAAACCTCTGTGACATGCAGCAAATTCTGGATCAGCAATCCTGAGTATCCCATCTCTGCAGTTATATGGGTGGGTTCATACATGTTTGTGCAACTTGTGAATTGAGACACGTGTAGGCTTGGTCACAGGCTCCCGTAGGCTTAAGCCAGACTCCGCACTTCAAGAAAGGAGGGAAACAACTTTGATACATGCAACTGAAGTAAGCAAAATTCTATCCAGGTGTTAAAAATTTCTTAAATAGGGAAGGAATGTTATTTCCCTTGGGTCCCAGAGCAACAATAGTGCTTTTATTTTAACTGCTTTCTGTACCAAGCGGCTGGATTTTTTCTTTTTTTTTAAAAAAAAGAAAAGCGATTATTATTATGGAGACTTTTAACAATCCATTTGAAGTCAGAGGTGGTCACTTTACAAAGTGTCTGTAGAGAGCAACATCTGGGGCGAATGCCTGGTGTGTGATTAACCCGTGATTTGCCACAGGGCAAGACTGTACAGAACTGGGTTGCTTAAATGCTGAGTCCAGCAAAATAGATAAGTGGAGCAGAGAAATGTGAACATTCTAATTCAAGGATCACCAGGCAAAAAGTGGCATTTCTTCTGAAGGCAACCAGATTCATGGCTCCAAGGCGTCCTGAACTTGCCCAGAGGTACTTATCTCAAGGGGTGAGAGTTGGCACCTCTACCAATTCCTGGAGGGCAGGATCTGGGAATTCCTGGAGGGCAGGATCTGGGAACAGATGTACAGATGTGGCGTGAAGTTCCTCAGAGTGGGGGGAAATGGGATAAAATATAACAATGAAATATATGATATATAAATATGTATTTGCACACTGGAAAATGTTGGGTCACATAGCACCATAATCAATGCCTGCGATTCCCTGCTTGATTTGCCTGTCTCCCATTATGAGAGTTATTCCTAACCATAAAGTTGGCCAGACCTGTTGTCAGCAGACCTCCCCAAGTGACCTCTAAAAAGCAAGCGTGGAATGCGGTCTCCATCGCCCATTGAAAAGATTTCTTTTTCTTTTAAGGGGGAAAGGAAGGCTGAGTGGGGCTGAGGGTTGGTGGTATTTTTCCTGGTGTGGTCCTTGAGGGAAAGGAGTGAGGTCACCAGACTGTTTCTTGGCTCTTGCACCACACCCACAGCCATGGGAGCTCCTCTTGGCGCAAGGAGCTGGGATTAAGACACTCTTGTACCCAGCACCACGCCTCTAGGCAAGCTGGCTCTGCTGAGTTTATGGTTCTTTACCTCCAGAATGGCCTTCCAGGAAACCTGCTTTCCAGATTCGGTATTTCTGGGAACGCAGTCACATGATAACAGGCAGTGGAGACTTGTTAATAGGTCCTTGCTCCAATTTGCTAACCTGTTCGCTGCCAAAGCTGTTTGACTCCTGTAGAAGGTGAGCTATGAATATGCAGCTCAGTAGCCTGTAGAGAGGGGAGGGTGCCGTTTCCCTGAGACGGTGGGGGAAAGGGACCAAACTGGCAGAGTGCGCAGAAAGCCACGTCTGAGGTTTTTCTCTGTATGGGTTAAGCTGCGAGCCAAGGGAGCTGTGTTCTAAGGTCAACAAAAGCTGCACCTGCCCACAGGCTCCTGTGTGCAGCAGCACAATCAATGGCTTGTTCCTTTCATAAGTGCCGTTGGAGCGCGATGCCCAGGCCCTGAGCCAACCTGCTGATCACATAAAATATTATTTGTGTTAAAAAAATTCCAGTAATTGACTATGCACCGTTTTTTCCCCGAGCCCTCTGCCAACAGCAGTAAAATCAAAATCCGTCCCAGGTTATTTTCATCATGCAAATTCCCATTTCTGTAAACAGGGCTAATAAGTGGCAAAGCCTGCTGCTCCCAGCAGCTGGGAGGCTCTCTGCCAGGCTAGCGAACAGCACATGGCAGAAAGCTCATTGAATCACACACGAGAGTGGCATGAATGGAGCCGGCAGAGAGGAGATGGGATGTAGAGGAGGAGGAGGAGCCAGGATGTATCACACTGCTGTGTTTTACAGGCTACAAAGTTTCTGTTAGGGCTGCATAGAGAACACAATGCATACAGCAGGGATTCTAGACCTCATGACTGAAGAGAAAAGACTGAATATAGACTTGAGCTTAGTTCAAATGAAAATGTGCTGCTGAGAGATCAATGTTTAATCTTGCAACATGCATTTGTGTGAAATGCAGAGTCGGGGTTGCAAATGCTATTGGCTTGGTATAGGGCTTCTGACTATGTTGGCTGGAGTCCTGCTGTGGGGTTGTGATACCACAGGGTCTGTTGTTTGCTGATCATGTTATGCTACCTTTTTTTTTAAATGTGCATTTCATATGTGGAACTCATTGCACCCATATCCCTAAATTTAATTTAAGAGAAAATATTAGTCAGATTGAAGAAAGATTTAAGCAGTTCATAATAGACAATGATGTTTCATCACTTGGGATATATACAAGCAAGACAGTATTTGAGCCCACTCATGGTATTCTGTTCAAACTATTCATTTTATCCCCTCCAGGGCTGAACTTGGGAAAAACCACTTTTGAGACTTTGCACCAAAAGCCGGCAAGGCACAGCCCTGGTTGGCTTGCACCTGTGATGTCACTAACACACTAACACACTGCATCTCAGCTAAATTTTACAACTCTTTAAAATCTGATAGTCTTCCTCCATTCCCCTCAAAAAAGTATGTAAAATTTAAAAAATTAACATTTAAATTAATGAACACATATTGTATGTGTGGTGTTTTTTTGTTTTTTGTTTTAAAAAGTCAGAGCCTGCCTGAAGCATAGTGGGAGAGATAAAACTGATAAATGATCCAGCGTTTGATTTGCTGGTATGTACATCTGTCATTTACATTATGAAAGCTGTAGGAAACTGGCCTGAGCCCGGGGTAGAAAAATCCGCCATGACTTCTGTTTTAATGTTAACATCTGTGTACACCCTCAGGTTCAAAAGATATTAAGGAATAGCAGTATAGAGTTTGTATCACCACAGTGGTATTAAGATTAAGGCAGCCAGACACATTAAAAAAAAAAAATTACAGTAGTAGTCCAAACTTCTCCCAACATGCTCAGGGTGATGTTCATGGTTCTTCTTGACAGCTATTTTATTATCACAACAGCCGTGTGAGGTAGGTTAGGCAGAAATATAGTGAATGGCCCACGGTTTTGAAGGAGGGAAAGCGGGAGAGTAAAGAGGACATAGAAGAAAGGTTTATAAAATTATGCAAGGTGTGGAGAAAAAGAGGCTTTTCTTGCTCTCTCGTAACACTGGAACCCAGGACCATTCAGTGGAGCTGAATTATAGGAGATTCAAGACAAACAAGAGGATGTACTTTGTCATATGCAGATACATAGACTGTGCAATTCATTAATCATGAGATATAGGGTTGGTCACCAACCTAGACAGCTTTAAAAGAGGTTTAGACAAACGTGTGGAAACAATGAGTTTCCACCGAGCTTCAAAACAAAATACTTGACTTTAGCTCAGGATTGAGTTTCCTGCCTGTGGTCTCCCATGCAAGTGCTCTGAAATGGATCGCTCCAAAACCATTTTCAGTATAAATTAATCTTGTTGTGTTAGCAAGCAACACTAACAATAGTAGCTTCACTATGTTCCTTCATTGCTCCTTCATGTGTAGGAATAAAGCAGGTGAAATGTAGATGAACAATTATCTCCAGTACCAATGGAAAAAAACACTGAGCTAAGAGGCAACAACTAGCTGAAGCAGAAACAACCAGCTGAATTTACAAAGTTAATTTTTAACTCAATTAAATGAAGCATTAAACACTAGAGTAGAAACTTTTGGTATCACAATCTGTTTTCTTTCAATATCTATGACACCCTTCTGAAGTGGCCACGTGATCTAATTTACAGAGGATAGTCTTCTCTTTGAAGAGCTGTCACAGTGCAGTCCTATATTTGAAGGCTTTTGTTTCAGGGCTGGGGAATCTCGGATGCAGTGCTACTCCAAGGTATCATCGGCAATCAAAATGGCGGCTCTTGGACCTTTTCAAAGCGGGGCAAAGGGCAAGTGGCCCAAGGATGCCATGCGTGGATGCTGACTTCCTTGAGATCACTATGCAGTCTCCAAATATAGCTTATATTATTGGTCATTTGCTTGGCAAGCCAAGGGTGGCAGGGCTCTTGGTGGTATCTACGGCTGGCTGCTACTGATATGGCAATTCCTATGTGGCTTTTAGTTTTACGCACATTAGCAGACATGTTATTTTATCCCCTTAATCTGAGGCAAGGAGCAGGGGGTCTTACTCAGAAGTCACGTCTGTATCAGAAACAAGTCAAGAGAAAGCTGCACATATGGCAAAGTAATATGGTTTTGATTGTGACATATTGTATAAAATGTTCGGCACACACGTATTTTAAATATATTAGACCGTATGATCATAGCTTGCGTTCAGGCTCCCTTTCATCTCTATGTGATTTACAAGCTTCACATATGTGCACAGATCTCTTTGCTTACCATGAAACAGCAGCTACTTCTGGGTTGGTGCTCGCCCACTTTTAGCATTGCCCTGCAACATGGCAAAGTGCCGTATCTGGAAAACTGGAAACTTTGCCCGTATGGGAGATGGATCTCTGCCAGCACCTGAAGCCTGGCAGATCAATCAAGATATGGAATAACTTAACACAAAGAAAGGGGCGGGGGGAGATGAATTTGAAGTGAAGCCCAAGTAGTAGCAAAATAACTCAGTGCTTATTCTTTCGAGTTGTATTGTTTTTAGTGCTTTTATACTTCCCTTGTCAATTTTAGTTTAGTTTTGTAAACCACAGTGTGTATTGGATTGTGGAAAGGTGTAAGTTTTAGAAATAAAACAAATACATAAGTTGTCATTTAAGCAGGCAAACAGCCTTGGGGAACCTTAGGTTGCATTCATCTTAGTTGTACTAAAGGATGAGGAAAATGCTGTCCTAGCCAACAGTGTATTTTCAATAATGTTTTTGACAAGGTCTGTTACTAAAGGGTCAGAAGGAACATAGCGATAAAAGCAGAATACATTTCCATGGAGTCACCTTGCAACAGGTTCAACATGTAGAAGACCGAGATGTGGCTCAAAGTGTTAGTAGTCACGATGGAAAGAGATAAACAACAGGATACCCAGGGCTCTGTGCAAGGGCTTGTGGTTAGCATATTAATTACCTGTGGAAGGTTACTGAACACTGATGTGGCAACATTTTCAGATGATAACACAATTTTCAAGATAGTTAAATCTGATACAGCTGTGAAGGGTTAAAAGAAAGACCTCCCAATTGTGGAGAGATTTGGAAGTGAAACGGGAGTTCAAAATCAGGGTTGAAAAGTGAGGCACAATAGAAAACAATAGCCACTCAAGAAAGATCTCTTGGTGTCAGGATAGTTTGCTCCCAGAAAATGTCAGTTCAGTGTTCTGTTGTCATCTAAAGGCAAATCTATTTATAACTCCGAACTCGGAAGCCCTGGGTGGGTGCTAGATCAAGGTGCTGAGTGTCTTTCGCCGGCAGATCAAAAGAAAATATGCTCCACGTAGTTGTGCCAAATTTGTAGGAAGCATATTTCAAACAATTAACATTAAATAATCCTTTAATCAGCCAACCTGAGTTAGCCAAGAATGATTAGAGAAAGACTGAGGGGAGTGTGTACATGGGGAGGTGGATGCATTGGGTCAGTTGAGTGAGGTGGAAGAGTAAAGTGTCTAAAGGGGAAATGGTAACAGAGAAGAGGGTGAGATACAACATCATAGCGGCCGATGAAATGAAAGTTCCCTAGGAATGGGCAAATCTGCCAATTTGTTTTCTCATTTTTGCAGCCCTAGGTTCAGTTCTCTGCATTTCCATACCAGTCTGCCAAAAAGAGGGGGGAGTCTCATGTCATTTCATCAGTAACTTTGTGCGACTTTCTTTTAAAATACGCATATCATTTTCACTGATACCTGCATTCATGTGTACCCTATACACTAGTGTGTACATTTTATGCACAATACCTGGCTGAAGAACTGCACTGCAAAATTCAAAGAAATGTGAATTTAGAAGTATGGCTGTGTCCAGTTCAGGTTTCAGAATTAAATAAGTGGATATTGCCAGCAGAATTTTAAAGAAAAATTTGTGCATTTTCGCTGGTTTTTGTAATGAAAGCAGGCAGGGCCATCTTTACCCGGGGGTGCAAGGGGTGCGGGGCACCTGGGTCCCAAATTCTGAAGGGGGCTCAATGTATACCTACTGTATACTGGTCCCTCTAGATCGGTGGCAGTGAAAAGCAATGGAGCAAAAGTCCCCACCCCCTCCTCCGTCGCTCTGTTACTCCGTAGCATCAAATATTCCTGACAAGTCAGGGAACAAAAGCAGTTTATTCTGCTGCATCATTGTTACAAGTGAGCGATTCCCCGCCCCCAAAAAGCTCAACAACATTGAGTTTGCCCCCCCTGAAAAAGGTCAACAACTTTGGCTTCCTCCCTCCTCAAAAAAGCTCAAGAAAAGTTAATTTGGGGATAGCTAATCTAAATTTGGGGGCGCTGGGTGGCTCTTTGCACCCTGGTGGCGCATATACTAAAGACAGCCCTGAAAGCAGGAACAAATGTTCCATGGCAGAGTCCATGGAGAGAAACATTAAACTGAAATCAAGGCAGCAGTGTGGTGTTATAGTAGGAGTTACAGTCTTTACTAAAGTCCCATACGTCAGTCCCGTGTGACATCATTAAGAGTATACAAAACTGCAAGAAGTGAATTTACAGGAGACCAGGCAGAGGGGCTTCTTGGTAGTTGTGCCCACCCTGTGGAATGCCCTCTCATCAGATGTCAAACAGATAAACAACTATATGGCTTTTAGAAGACATCTGAAGGCAGAGGTTTTTAATGTTTGAGGTTTTATTGTTTTTAATATTTTGTTGGGAGCCGCCCTGAGTGGCTGGGGCAACCCAGTCAGATGGGTGGCATATAAATAATAAAGTTGTTGTTTCATTATTTATAGCAATAAATTCATTTCAAGTTTTACGTTTTTCATAATTTGCATCCCAGTAATTAGCAAAGCAGGTCCACCTCTCTGCAAACTTAACATTCTGCAAACTTGTTTCTCCTGTAAACCACATCTGTCAATTTGTCTGTTTCTGCTAACTCCATCCCCATATAGATGAAATCTGTGAATTTTTCTACCTGAACACACATGCACATTTTTGCCGCTGTTAACAAAACCACTATTAAGGATTTCACATTTTTCGGGATATCCTCCCCGAGCAGCTTAAATAAAATCAACATGCAGTAAGACACAATACATACCCTATATTAATCCTTTGTGACAGAGGCAGCCTGACAGATAAAAATACAAACTCTCTTCCAGTTTACAGGGGTTTTTTTCCTCTTGTCTGGTCACTTAGAGATTATTCTTATAAGGTGCAGGTGATTAGGCTAGTATCTCTTTGCAAGCTGATTGTGTCAAGTTCCATTCATTTCCCATTAGCAAGGAATGGATGGGTTTGATACTTTATAAATATGTCATTGGCATATACTTTTAATTTAAAACTGGAGATCAGGAAATACAGATCTGCAACTTGGCTGTGGCGCGAGGAAGCAACTTGTGTTTGTGTGCACTCTCAGCAAGTGTGAAGGAGAGCTGAGCTTTCACAATGAATTATTAAAGTGCTGCTCACATACTGTCAAAGGGAACTGTGCTAATCTAATCATAATCCATCTAGTAGTGCCACATCTGTCCGACACCTCCACCTCTTCATTTACAATCAGCCTTAAATAGTACGTAATCATTAATGTCTACCAGCCTGTCAGATGGAGCAGCAGATTCAGTTATCTTTCCATATCAAAGAAATTGTGTTCTGGATTCCACCGATGTTGTCGGAATCAGACTTTGGTAACTGCAATGTGATGTAAGTTGGCAGTGTAAGCTTGTCACCGCAGTCAGTCAGTAGTGACTGAGGATAGATGGGTACAGTCAGATCGATGGTGCTTTGATACCTGGAAGCAGGCATGGAAACACGTGCATAGAGAACATGAGTCAAACTTGCAAGTTGGCATCAGTTGTAAGCCAGGTCTCTATGGAGGCTTCGGAAGCTTACAGAGCCAATTTGCTGTCCTGCCACTGATCTCCTCTTTGACCCTAAGAAAGCAGCTTTTGCTTAGGTTAGAGCTGCAGTGTAGCTAAGTGGTAGCACAACGCCTAAGGACTACCAGACAGCCAGCAGCAGTGTTTAAAGTGGACATTTACTATGCAAGCTGCTCCCCACCATACAGAGAACATCTGCTTTGCCTGCAGAAGGTCCCATGCTCAATCCATGGTAGCTCCAAGCAGGGCTGGGAAGGACCCATCTGAAACCCTGGAGAGCTGCTATCAGTCAATGACCTAGGCAGACCCATATGGTCCGACCCAGTATAAAGCAGCTTCCTATGTTCTCAAGGCACCTTTGCACACATATTTTTGTTTTTTCAATAGTGTGGCATAGGAACGTGGGGATGTAGTTAGGGTTCATCCATAATGTCAGGAGCCGGAGTCAGGGGCAGGTGTCATTGAAGTTAACTTTATTCAAAGAAAACAAAACAGCACAGGTCTAGTGATCACAGCAACTCTTCCCAGCTGATCTTGCCCCAATGAGGCATTTGCGAGGACTGAAGGTCCCCACCTTCCCACCACTCCTTAAGTCTCCTCCTCCCGCAGTTTCTTCCCAAGCAATCTGAGGCTGTTTCATCTTACCTGCCTTTGCTCTGCCCTTTTCATACCTCTGCATGTTCTGGGAGACCAAGGGGAGGAGAGCTGGTCACAGCAGGAGAGGGAGACTCCCTGGCTTTTTCAGCAGCCTGCCTCCACTCTGCCTCTTGAACCCTTCTCTGCTTCTGCCTCTGGTTCTGGACTGCTCTCTGCCACAGCCTCTTCCTGCTCACTAAAACCTGTTACTTCATCAGCTTCCAACACCTCCTCCTCCCAGTCTGCTCCCTCTTTGTCCTCTGATCACTCATCGCCATCCCACCACCAATCCCCTGGCTCTGAGCCTTCTTCCCCTGGGGGTTCCCTTGGGGGCTTCCCACCTCTCCTATGCATCTAGCCAGTCCATGACACATACCTACCTTTTGCCCCACTCTTCGCAGGCAAAGGTCTGCACTTTAAAGCTCAGTGTTTTTGCTCCAGAGCTTTCCCCTGTGAAAAACCTGCTCTTTAAAGCTGAAGTACAACTATAGTGAATTCAGGTGTTCTGCGGGTTGCTGTTTGCTCCGATTCAGCTTTGGAGAACAGGTTGTCATGGATCTAAAGCTCTGGAACAAGAAAAAGAAGGTTGCTTGGACACAGAGCTTTAAAGGGCAAACTGGGCCTCAAAAGCATGGAGGAGAGGGAAGTGTGAATAACCTTACACTGAGACAGATCATGTAGCTCGGCACTCCAGGATTTCAGACAGGGGTATCTCCCAGCCCTACCTGGAGATGCTGGGGACTGGACAAGGAACCTTCTGCATGCCAAGCAGATGTTCTATGTAGGGCAGGGAGCAGCTTGCACAGAGGATATGAGGGCCAGTTTAACATTACTGCTGGCCTTGGGAATATCTGTCCAAACAGAAGTTCAAAAGTAGCGACTAGAACAAAACCCTCCAATGTGGCTCACAGAATGAAAACAAAACATTGGAACCTTTTGAACCAAACCTTGAATAATGCCTCCGTCCTCGCCAGCCCCCACAGCCACCCAAACTAAGCCTCTGAATTCTTGACCCATCTGAACCCTTCAGCTCAAGTGTGTCTGGCACAGGGAAGAAAGTGCTAATGGGTCTCAATGGTAAGAAGGAGACTCTAAAAAAGAAATGGAGCACTGATCAGACAGGAAATGCCTCATGAAAGTTGAGTGGATTGCCTCTGGATGTTTAGAGAATCAGCTACCAAATAACTGGTGCCTTGGGGATATTTTGTGAGCTCTTGAAACAAATGTTCACTTTTTTTATTATTATCCTTGCTATCAATCCTTTGCGGGTGACCAGTGCTTAGATGGATTTGGGACTGAAAGATGGTCTGTTGCATTTCACAGTTTGTTCACAGACAAATCCTGCTGTTTTGGTTTCTCTGGCAGCCTTTCTTCTTTTAGAAATATGCTCAGCACGCCCAGGTAAGGGAGGTTCGCACCATCTTGGGCATTTAAAACAGGTAAAACTGAAAGAGAGTGTGATGGGAGGGAACATCAGGCAAAAAGATCTGCTCCTTTCCATTTTTCTTCTCCCTGACTGCTCACTTGTCAGAAGACCCAAGTGCCAGAGACAAATGTCAGTTTTAGCAGCTGACAGGAATGTCTGGTCCCATTGCGCACACCGCAGATACTGTGGCCCCAATTTAAATAACCATGGTTTCCCCCAAAGAATTCTGGAAACAGTAGTTTGTTAAGGGGGCTGAGAATTGTTCGGAGAGCTGTATGCCCCTCACTTACAGTTCCCAGAGTGGTTTAACAGTCAGTTTCTCTTCCTAGTGAACACTGGGAATTGCAGCTCTCTGAAGGGAATAGGGATCTCCTAACAACTTTGTGCACCCTTAACAAGCTACAGTTCCAGGATTCTTTAGGGAAATAGCAACTATTTTAAGAAGTACATACCTTCCAATATGAAGTGGTCAAAAACGGGGACACCATATTCCAGGGCCTTGCTCCTGATCTAGGCGAGATTGTGCCCCCCAATGCTTTTTTCAGGCACAGCACCCCAAAACACGCACTTTGAGGCACCGTGTAAGATCGTAAAAGTGCTGTATCGGGGCAGCAATCTTACATGGCACCCCAAAATGCACATTTTTGGGCACTGTGCCCGAAGAAAGCGCAGCCTGAAATTGCGCAAGATTACAGCAGCCATTTTGTCCACTTTCCCCACATGAGAAAATATGTCCCATTTTTTTCCACGGTGGTTGACAGGTATGGTAGTATGATATTGCCTTAGATGAATAGTGCAGATGAGGCCTGGGTCTACTGCGGCTCTAGCCCAAAGATGATAGGGGAACAAAATTAATTTATATAAGACCATTTGTATAAATGGACTAGAAAGGTTAATTTTTTCATAATAGTATTATCAGGGCATTAATCTAAGAATGCTAAAGCCATAGGCTCTCGTGTGTGTGTGTCCTTCTGTGTGTGCCTTGAATTTCCCAGATCAGTAATAATAATAGTAATAATAATAATAATAATTATTATTTATACCCCACCCATCTGGCTAGGTTTCCCCAGCCACTCTGGGCGGCTTTCAACCAATAAAAAACACATACCAATGCTCACATAAAGAAACCACTCTCTCTTAGTCTAATCTTCCTTACAGGGTTGGTATTGTAAGGATAGAGTAGATGGAACCTCAATGTCTGCAGGCCATCTTGACCCTGTTTAAGAAATTTGTTACTTCACCACAGCCAAATCCAATTTCTGCCCCCATTTCAATTTCCAATGGCATCCCTGCAAATGGCAATTAATAATTGTGGATCAAGGGTGAAGAAATATACAGTGTAATGACCTCAGGACCTGAGGTAGGTTAAGAGTTTGGGAGACGAAGTGGGTATGGTTCTACCATTTTTGATACGGTGTTGCTTATGGCTAATACATAAGCTCATGTGGTTTGATACTTAGGGTGGGGCGTGGAATCCCTCTGCTCCTCTCAGAGGCACCCCTGGGTTGCCAACATTTATTTTCCGGCCCCAGGCTGCATCATTTAAGAAGGCCTAAAGCAGGGTTTTCTTCCTCCTTTCCCCTCACAATTTATTTCTGGCCCTTTTTCAGCAAGAAATCAAGATACATGACAAAGCCTAGTCAACAACCCTGACATCCTTGTGAAGTTTCTCTTGACACCAAGAGGCTTTCTATGTTTCCTTCCACTTTCTATGTGATTTACTTTCATGAGAAATGAATCAGTGGCATACTGACGAGCTGATTTCACACAAAAATCAGACAGAATTAATTACTTTTAGCCACTCTTCCTCCCGGCTTCTGATGACAGGCGATGGTACTGTGAACCCCATTGATACTCACCCTCTTCCCCTCCAATGACTGTCGCCACCACTTTGGTACAAATCCATCTCCCATTTACCTCGGTTCCTTTGTCAGCCAAGAAACTCTGTTCTTGGTGCCAGTTTTCTCTTCTGCACTGGCACAACCAGGGCTGGCCCTACCGTTGGGCAAAGTAAGGCATCTGCCTCAAGCAGCAGGCACTGTAGATAGCAGCAGTGACAGGCCCTATCCTGTCTGTTCCTCCTGAACCATCCCAACTTGGGGGAGGATCAAGCTGCACATGCAATTCCTCACTGGTAAATGCAGCATCAACAATGAAAGGAAGAGCAAACTCTTAGGCCATTCTATGCTGTGCCTTATAGCAAATATTTATCTCAAGCTCACCACCACCATACATCTGCTGTATAAGGACAATGGGAGGAATTCAGTGTCACACTATTATGATCACTATTGTGGGTGCAAGCATTTCTGCTTTCCAGACACAATGATCTCCCCTTTCTTCCCCCATATGCTATTCTGGAGATTCTCCAGACCACCAGTTTCCTCCCCACAATATGCTGGAATGCTGCTAAGTCCAGAGCATTGTGGAAGATGCAAAATGGTGGCCAGACTGCCAGCACAGTTGCTGTTGTCACTTGTAACAGCAGCAGCGGCGGCAAGAAAACCACACAAAACCGAAAGAAAAGTGCTATTGCCACTGTTCATGGTGAACCCTAAATCCAAGAAACTGTTGAAGATTTATTGCCTACTCACAGGGTAGGATATTGTCCCCAGTTTCTCTTCCCACAAATAGGTGGAGAATTTTGAGGTGTCATTTGTGCATAGTTCTGTGCTGCTTGGGCAGGCTATGTTGGAAAATGTTCTGTTCTGTCCAGCTTGGCTCGCTCTATTGCCATTGTTCTCATTTGGTAAAATCCACTGGCAAATACATGAGCCTCTTCTCTAATTGGTTACCATAATGCAGTGGCAGCCAAGTAGCACTCTGAGCCAATCTCACACTCTGAGATTAGTGGGGGTAAGGGCTGCTTTTCAACATGGGTGGTGGTGGTTTTGCCAAATGTAAGCAACTGAGCATGCTCAGTCCACACTGTGCTGTTTTGGGAAGATACCCCTCCCCTTAGCAATTGTTAAAGAGATTTATATACATCTGCAAACCTTGTGGTTTTCTCCAAGCCTGCTGACACATCCTTCTTGTGCATGGATGGTGCTGTTATTGGCACTCATGCCACAGCGCAGAAAATAGAAGGAAGGATATATTTCCCATAAAATGCACATTTGACAAACTCCAGTAGCCAAGCTGAGAATGTAAGTCACATCTTCTCCACGTTACATTTGCAGGCTCCCTGAATCCCAAATCTACTCACTCGTATCTTCAAAAAAAACCAATACTTTCAACTTTTATCTCTCTCGTCTCTCCTAAAATAGCTAGCCAGATGGGTTATCACTATTGCCACTAGGGGGCATATTACAGCTTGCATAGCATATGACAGCCTAGCCGTAAGTTAACAAGCCTAACGCAATCTTTCAATTTTTGTTATTTTTCTTCTTCCTTTTTTTATTGTATGGGATCATCTCTGGACACTGTTTGTACTTTGATCTCTCCAAAGTTTGGCATCCCTCCTACAAAAAAAATGAAAGTGTGCAAGAGAGAAAAGAGCCCTTTGTTCTCCACAGCTGTCGTCATTCTGTAGAAAAATCTCAGCGCAGGTATTAAACACTCGTTATTGATCGGTCAGCCGGTGGTCCAGTTTTATCTTCTCATACCTGTCGGAGTGAGGTTATTTGCACTACAAATAATTTGGTTCCTGAGGTCTCACTGAAGTTAAAAGCGCAGGGTAGGCTGGAACACTGATGAAAACATGTCGAGGGAACTGCAACAGGAGGCTCCCATCCAATAAAGAATCGCCGCACTCCCAATGACAGACTCTTCATGCAATACCACAGGCTGCATCCATAGCACCATGCTCCTGAATAGTCATATTCTAATGTAAAGCAAAGCCTGAACGAGATTACCAACCTCCCAGGGCAAGTGTCTAAAAAAAGGGGAAAAGTTCCTGTCCACTTAATCTGTGCCTTTTTAAAAAAAATGTTACAATTCTTCATGTGTGCATCAACAGACACATATTTTTTATGGTGCCAATTTAGTTATAATGTTGTGCTACAGTACCCTAACTAACCTACACAAATGCTCATCTGACAAGTTGCTGATACTGTGTGGCCCCCAATTTACTTACACTGTTGAGTAACAGTCTTGTGCTTTGTTCTTTACAATATTTCTTTCTATGCCATGCCAGTGCTGTATCTCACTGACAAGCAGCTATTATTATATCCCTCACCTTTCTGGCTTAGCCTCTACATTCACTAGTGACAGGCATTTATGACAATGCTGAAATTCACCATGAATCCCTTCATACACAAAACACACCAACCAAGCTATTTACACTACTATGAAGACCTCTCCATCACCCTCCCATCCCTAGCTGAACAAACGGCACTAGACTTCAAAGGTTCTAAGAGGTAGAACATTTGTTCATGACAGCTAGGGCTGCCATATGCCCGGATTTTCCTGGACATTACTGGGATTTCATGGGCGGAATTGACATCTGGGGGGAATTTCTGAAAGGCAGTGCTTTGTCCTAGACCTAGATCTTAGGCAAGTCAATTGAAAAAACAGTGTTTGGTGTTTTCGTAACCAACAATTTTTTGGTCTTCGTAAAAAATAACTTTTGGGGTATCCTGGTTTTTACTTTTTGAAATATGGCAACCCTACCACAGTAGCACTCAAACTGAGAGTGCACTAGTCACCTAAAATGCAGCTCCTTCAGTGAAGGAGGAAGTCCACATATAGCAAGACTGCTTAAAGTGTTTAAAGTTAAACCTTAAAGTGTTTCCTATCAACATTATTACCTTTGCTCTTTGGATCCTCTTCTATGACCCTCTTGTGGTTTCTTACAGCATCTCGGAGTAACTTCACATGTTCCTTTTTCTGACAAACAGCTGAATCATCTAGTTGGGAAATGTGAGTAAAAACGTATTGTGAGAATGGCTGCCCAAATTCCTCTTTTATGTGGGATTTTAACAGATTCCCATGTGCATCTAACAGAAGGAATAGTGCCCGTGTTTTAAAAAAGTATATAAAATAAATTATACAAATGACTGAATGTTCGTCTATCTTTTTTGCTTACTGTGTTTCATATACTTTTTGAATCGTGTAGTAATCCTTATGTTAGAAACAGTAAACCTACAATGTCTCCTAGTATCATACAGAAACCACCGAACATGTGGGCCTGCAACCCTGGTTGCATCTGTGAACAGTGGGGCTGAAAAACAAAAACAAACTCAAGTTGGGCCATATGTCCTCAACAGCAATCGGGTACTCAATGATATGCGTGGTGACAAACTATGATGCAATTTCCCTTCCCTGGGCAGGAAGCAAATTAGATAAAGATAAAGTAGCTTGCTTGGAATGAGATCTCTCTGAGCTTGCACCTTTGGAGAGGTTTAACCCTGCAAGATAGGTCAGCATGAATCTCCCCATATTGCACATGGGGGACTGAGAGATAACAGCTTGCCTCAGGCCACCTGGTGAGATCATGGCTGAGGAGAGGGATGAAGTTCACCAAGCAGAAACCAGAGGCTTCAGAAGAAGAGCTGAGCGTGCCTCCTGCCGCAAGGTGTGCACACCGAACCCCACACCATTCGGGACATTCTCCATCGCCAGAACAGAGCAACATCCTCCCAAGGGAAGGCAAAGAGGTGTCACTTTTTTGGGGGGGGGAATGTGTGCCTCATTATCAGATAGCTGAACATGAAGTTCTTAGTTACAGCAAGTAAATAAAGCGTGGAGGATACAGAAGCAGCAGCAGTGGAGGAGGTTTTCGCATGGTCTGGCTCCCACATGTGCCGAGATCGTTAGAATGATTTATAGGGAAGAATGCTAGTCTTTTTTCTTTTTTGCTTTATAATAATACATTAGGCTTTTAACCTCTGACCAAAAGAGGTGGAAGGGAGGATTCAGAAAACACCATGTTGCTTGCAGCCCGGCCTGACCTGGGGGAACTACCTCTTTGCCCCCCCCACCCCCCGCCTTCCTGGGTTCTTTCAAACCACAAAGCTCAGGGTGCTTCCGCAGCGCATGAGGGGTTAAGCCAGGCTGTGGAATGCAAGAGTTTACAGAGAGGCGTCGGCTGCCTTGAGGTCACCTGTGAGGGATTAGCTGGGCCTTGCAGACAGTTGTTGTTTGAGGACTGTCTGAGGCCTCAGAAAGGGGGTAGTGGGGGTGGTGGAAAGGGGGGGTGAAGAATGGCCCGGCGGGTGGGATCTTCCTGTCCTGCTGGGATTATACAACTATCAGATGCATTTGTGAAAGCCGAACTGTAAACTCTCTGTCTTTTTTGTTAAGGAAATAAATCCATCACCGGCTTCAGGGGGAAAGAAGGGGAAAAAATGAACCTCTCCTCTCAGTATGTTTCAAGGCAAAGGTGGAAGCGACCCGGCAGGGATGGCGCAGTGCACATGCCGGCCAGCTCTTTAGACACTGAGGAAGCCTTTGTGGCTATAGGCAGTGGGGATCCCTTGTCTTCTCCGGTTGGAACTGGCCAAGCGGGATTGCCAGGCCCCTCCTCCTCCGGATAAGCTTTCTGTGCGAGAGAGACAAGAATTACCAAAAAGTTCCGAGGAAGAGGGAGACCAGAGGGCCAACTTCTCAAGCGAAGGGGGAAACACGGTTTGCCCGCACTTCTGACCTACTCAGATGCTGGTTGGGGATTTCCAAAATGGCCCCGAAGGAGCTGGCATTCCTGTTCTGAAACATTAACAGCCAGCTGCTGGGTTTGCACGCTGAGAAGGAAGCCCCGTTGAGTTCAGTGTGGCTTGTTCCTAAGTAAGCGCACCTAAAGCATTTGTTTGTGAAAATGCTTTGGTTTGTGAAGAAGAAAACCACGGCATGTTGGGTGACGATACGTGAAAGAAGAGATTGTGCCATTCGTTTGTTTATTTTTGCCTTGGGTAGAACAAAACAAAAGCCTAAGAAAGCCATAAAAAGGGATTCAATTGTATCAATGAAATATTAACAAAAACTATGCAAATACCATAATATGAGGAAGTTGAGATCATTAAACAAGAAGTGCCTCTCTAAACATTTTTGTTTCTTGCCTTCTGAGTGACGGCAGGCCTGCCACAGAAAAGGCCCTGTTTTCTGCCCTCACAGATCTACCTCGCAGGGATGGGAACCAGAGCACATGCTACCCTGATCATCTTAAAAAGGGGTGTATGTTTGTGTATCTCTCTTCTGTCTTTGGATGTGAAACTTGAAATTGCTGCCTGTACCACAGATATTTAAAAATTACCCTCTCTCACAGCCTCCACCCTGGTGTGCTTAATGCAGTTCTCTAAGCAATTGTGTCAGAGAAGTCCTGTTGGCTTCATTGTGACTACACTGGCATTAGTAGTTTTCCAGGGAGCAACTGTAAGGCATTTTAGACCTCAAAGGGCCATTAACTTTCACTGGTATTTAAGCACTTTTTAATCAGCGGTCGTAGCAGTTTATCTGAATCTGTTCACAATCATTTAGCTGCATTTTCTGGATATGCAGCAGACATAAGAGGCAATGAAAGTTAATGGTATTTACTTGACTAAGGGTGAGTTCATGCATGTTCGTTATTTACTGAGCTTCTCCTGCAGTGTTTAAAATATTAACAGAACCTGCAGAATGCCTTGATTTGGATCAAGACCATAGCATTGGAGGAACAAATCCCCCCCCCCCCAGTTTCTTGGTCCAAATTGCCCTTCAGGAGCTGCCATTTGCTCTATTGAAGAAAATGTATACATACCAGAAAGGTATCAGTGGGTTGCCCATTCCTGCCCCACCAGCATGAAGCAAATACCAACTTTAGGGTAGGGAAAGCATGGAACAGGAAAATAGTATGGGGAGAAAGCATTGATTTCCTTCCACCAGTGCCTTATTCCTGATCCAAATTATCTTGGATGTCCCAGGTCATAATATTTTGCATGTGTGTAACAGCTGTCATAGGTAAAACAGACAGAGCTTTTGTATTTTGCATGGTTAATCTTATGGCATCATTTCCCCGGAGACCTCTGACATGTACATATGTGTGTGAACCACCAGCAATGTATACCGGTGGGAGGGGGCAGAACAGCAGTGGTACTAATCACACTGGGATGGGAATGGGGCAAGGTCAGGGAAGCCCCACAGGGGTGTGTGGACCTTGCGGGGCTGCTGCCAACTCCAACCCAGAGTTCCCTTGACCTCACAGCTGCCTTGCCCTGGTAGCCCCAAGGATGCTGCCCCCCCATGCCGTGCTGGTGGTGGTGTGAATCATCACTACAGAATCTAACCCTTCCTCTGTGTGTATAGTTACTGGCCAATGACCTGTTCCTGTGTGGAGGTTTGATGCGCAGAAATCAGCAAGCAGTTTTTTAATGACACGGAGCTAAACATTATCAACTACAAACCGGACCCATTCAAAAGGTGGAATTCCGCCCTGCTCTCGGTGACTTGAAATATTTTATGGCTCTCTTTAGGACCATAAAGCATCTTATTGTCTACCCCCTGCAATACTTAAGCATTTGCCGTGTTAAAAACTAAAGTTAAATCTTAACCAGTTGAGCCAGATGTTTCTCTGATGTCATCTTAAGAGTTTTCAAGGCCATTGTTTGATTGCTTAATTTTTCATACAAAACCAGATAAACTTGTTTCTATTCTTTAGCAACTGGTTTTTCTGCTAATGATTGCTTCCAATGAAGCAATAGTTTACTGACAAATATTTGTTTAAGCATAGTCCCCACAAGGAACTGGAACCATGTGACAAGTTGTTCTGAGTCTTCCACAGTCAGAGGCAGTGTAGCTGTGATTATTAGGTTCTGAGGACAAACAACAGGTGGGGACTTAATTCCATTGTGTCCTGCTGGTGAATTTCCAGGACATGCAGCTCACCACTCTTGAGGTCTATGGTCTTTATTAGATTAACTTCTGGCTTGATCCACCAAGTCACATCTTGCACACTTAAGAAAGGCAAGCAGATACATCAGTACTTTGCTTCACGGGCACCATCAATCAGTACAGGCACCAGAGGTGCACTGCCTGTTGCTTGTGTTTCATTGACTGGAAAATTGTGAAAAACTGGTGTTCTTAGTAGTACCTCAAGGCAGTTTCACCAGGGCAGAACAGTAAATAAATAATGCTCTAATGCTCACTTGTCCTCTTATGTCACGCAGCAGGTCCTTACAACATAGTTATGATATGAAGAGAATTTCTCAAGGATAAATTTCTTAGTGATTCCAAGCAAAATCAAAAAGCCAAAACAAAATGATTTTGTTTAGGAAGAAAAGCACAACACCATGACATGTCAAATATATGGGATATTCAGCCTCATATAACCAACATGCTTAACTAATTAATGCATGAAGGGGCTAAGACCATAGAGTAAGCTGCCCTGCTAGGTCACTCCCCCTCACCTTGGGAGGAAGGGCTACCAAACTATTTGTTCTCCTATTCTACTATGTGGAGCCTACCAGTAAGCAGGTCTAAGCTGGGTTCTCCACGCTTAGACCACATGGCTTAAACAAGCCATATTTGTGTTGTGACACAAATAATTTAGAAACATTTACCACTTTGTAATCTAAGTTATACTGCCTGTCTTTTCTTGCTGCTGTGCTGTATGGAAAAGCACATGAACCTGGCCTTTGAAGGGGATTTACAAGTAAACCATTTTTATGTGTGATGTCTTTCTATGCTAAGGTGAAGTAACTTCTATCACCAAAGAGACCTTGCCCCAAACCTGGATCTATGTATCCAGGGAATTGTGCAAGAGTTGGAACAGGGGCTCAGTGCTTAGGAGTAATCCCACTATGATTGAGCCCAACATTTTACATGAATGGTTAAACTTGTTTGCAAAAACACACATCTGGTTTAAGGAAGAGTTCTGTGTAACAAAAGCTTTCGCACTGTTTTGTGAATTTTCATCCTATAAAAATGTTATTTATGGTTCCAGTATTTTTCTTTTTGTTTAATCGGTTTAGCAATATGGATGTAGTACTTGGGTGTCTTAATCAAATAAGACACAGTATTGGGTGGGGAATTGAAGCAACTCTTGTGCAATTTCAATAGGTCTGCTCAATGGTTAGGTACCAGGCTGCCAACACAGACTTGAAAGTAGAACTAGCCTAATGACATCAGAATTTAGCCCAGAATTTCTATGCTCAGAATCTCTTCTCTTATAGCTACAGAAGAAAGGATGGTATTGTGATTACTGTTCCACCATTGTAGCTAATGGATAGCTCTAATGGCATGCTCATGTCTCAGTGCTGGGTACTTTTCAAGAGATGGGTAGCAAATAGCAGTTCAGTTCTTAATAAAAATGATGTCATCCAGTGGTGGCAATGCCACTGCTTTATGGCTGTACTAAAGGCTCCCTTGAAGGAGGAGGACAACTCATCCTCCATTTTAAAGGTGGACAGCTTGTTCAGTCCTTGAGAGCACCATCCTAAATGTGTCATGCTTCATTGCTTCCTGGCTAATTGACATCTTTTTTTATTTACACATAATTAATATAATTTGCAAAAGGAAGTGCATGAACATGGTGAATGCCAAGCAACAACAGCTGGTGGACAACGTTGCACTTCTTGGGTGATGGGTGATGCTATGATTTATGCAGTTTCTGATGTGAGATTCGAAGTGGCAGTTCTCAGCTGAGAGCTTAATTTACACTTATTAAAATTTAACGACAAAAACATTCACTCACAAATGCAAAGGACTGCCAGGGGAAGAGCTGGGATACATGCATGTTCTACTAAGTGTGCATATCTCATGCGCAGTCCTAATGCCTGTTGCCTGAACACAGTAGTTCTTAGGACAGGCCACTAAGGCCACATAGCTCATCGAGGACATGACACTGGGACAGTTTAAGCCAGGAACTGTTCCCTACCCTTGCTTTTTCCACATCTGAGTGGACTTGCACCACTCCAGCAAGTGCTGGGCCCTCTCTGCCTATTTTGTACAACACCCATCAGATTTTGCCACACAGCTAATGAAAACTCACCTTGTGAAAATGAAATAATGCATATTTGTCCCATTTATCCGTGGCTAAAAGTGGGTGGCGCTGTGGGTTAAACCACTGTGTCGCTTGGGCTTGCTGATTAAAAGGTCGGCGGTTCAAATCCCTGTGATGGGGTGAGCTCCTGTTGTTCTGTCCCAGCTCCTGCCAACCTAGCAGTTCGAAAGCACGTAGTGCAAGTAGATAAATAGGTATCGCTCCGGTGGGAAGGTAAACGGCGTTTCCGTGCACTGCTCTGATTTTGCTGGAAGCGGCTTAGTCATGCTGGCCACATGACCCGGAAAAACTGTCCTGCGGAAGCGGACAAATGTCAGCTCCCTTGGCCTGTAAAGCGAGATGAGCGCTGCAACCCCATAGTCGTTCACAACTGGACTTAATTGTCAGGGGTCCCTTTACCTTTAATCGTCTCCTATGTTATATCCCCTGTGCAAAATTAAAGACTCCACCTCCTCAGGGACCTGTCCTTTTGTACTATACAAGGTGTCGTGCACATTGATGGAGCTATATTAATAATAATCATATTTGAGAATAACGTCATAAGCTGGTGTACCAAACAAGAAGAGAAGGGCTATGGCAGCACAGCACCACTTGAGAGGCATTGTATAATACTTTTGTTGTGTAGTACAAGTCATAATGTGACCATGAGGCTAGTTAGTATTGACCTGGCAGGCTGCACACAGATATACTTTCCTCTAGAGGCAGGTGTGGACTTCTCCCCAACTTCACTCCTCTGCTGGCACACATACCTGGTGTGGAGTCCAGTGTGGATTTTGCTCTGCCCAGCAATGTTTAGGGCAGGTTTCTCACTTCTATTCCCCCCCCCCCCCCGCAAGCATCTGTAAGGATTATAAACTTTAATCACATATTTGGGAATTAAAAAAAAAGCCAGTCTGTTAGTTGTGTTTTTCAAAAAGATTTTTTTAAAATTACAAATTAGGGGAGTGATTTCTTGATCGCTACACGGAGGTAGCCAAGCATCATTCTTCATAGACAACCAAAGAGGGGGGAAAATGGCTTCATTATTGTCACAGGGTCCCAGCCAATCAACACTCTGCGCTGATAGTATCTATGGAAAACAGGAAGTGAACCACTTGCTCCCATGATAGATTCAATTTGGAATTTTGTTTGTCCAAATAGGGGTGGTTGTAGATCAATAGCAGGCTCACATTCAAGCTCTGTCTGTCTGTCTGTCTGTCTGTCTGTGTCTATCCTATCTAAACCAGCAAAAGGGAACCAGTAGCACTCTAGGTGGTGTTACAACTCCTACCATCCCTACCATTGACCTTGCTGTCTGGGTGTGATGGGACTTAGCATCCAATAACGTATTTGGGGCTACAGCTTCTCCATCCTGAATTGTAGCAATGGAAAAAATTCACCTCAACCAGTGAATCATTTTTTTGTGCCAAGTGAGCTAAGAAGAGACCAGGGATAACTACTCCAAAATACTTAAAATTATGGATTGAGTTTATGAGTAATTATCTCAAACACACACAAATGTAAGGGTCTCTTTTGATTTCTGAATCTTTAGAACATAACAGCCATCTACTTTCTCAGATTTTCTTCTGAACTAGAATTTTTCATTTTTTAAAGTAAGTATCATTTTTAGGTGATACTTTCTTCTGCACCTCGCCAATGCCAGAAGTGTGTTTGGCAGGAGCATAACAGAAGGCCTTTTCAGTAGCCATACACAGATTTTGGAATTAACTTCCTTTGGAGATACTTCATGCCCACTCTTTGATGGCATTCTGCCCAAAGGGCAAGACTCTTCATTTTTCTGATGGCTTTTAGTCTCCTACTTGGCTGATTTTAATTGGCTGAATTTAATTGGCTGATTTTGATCTCTGCTATTTATAGACATCTTGGGCTGTCTTCATTTGGTGAGGGTGGGGAGCTGTTTAGTATTTTTACACATACCCCTCCCTTTAGGAATGATGCTAGAGACTTTGGCATGTGGCTGGAGGTTATGAGTTATTCTCCAGCTTGCAAAATACACTTTTCAACTCCATCCATGTCTTTCCTGACTTGAATTTGACACGAGGAGATAAATTACTCAGGAGAGATGCAGGCTTTCAGGCTGCCATGTTTGAGTGGAGACCAAATAAACAAGGAGCGGTACAGCTGGGGGCTAAATGGAAGGGCAGTTTACAGAGTGGCTTTTATGAGGAGGCCAGAAGCCCTGAAGGTGAGGCTCCCATCCTGGTGAAGCTATCCCCAAGGTTAAACAGTGGAAAGTTCTCGCCTTTCCCTTTGCAGTTTTACAGAGTGTTTGCTGATTTTCTCATGTTCACCATTCTTCTTTCACTAGGTGGGTCGAGATAGATGATAGGCTGCAGCTGTGTGTTAAAAAGATACCAAGTAATAAGTTTCAGTGGCGTGAAGGCCTTGCATCAGTGCTATGAGATGGTGCATGTTTGACACTGATCTTGAAAAAGGGAGCAATCCAACATCCACCGGGATGTTGGGGCAGGTCTCCAGCTAGGCTCAGCGGCAGCTCTGCTGGCTGAAGACCTTCATCTTGCTCAGCCAGAGATACACCAGTGAAAGTCCTCCATCTTGGCTCAAACAAAGACATCTCAACCAAGGGTCATGTCAGGGACAGGCAGGACTCCAAGGGGTATGTAGAGGAGGCAAGGAGGTGGACAAGGATACAGGAGAAGGGGTCAGGGATTTGTGGGGTTCTATGCCACCACGAGGCAGGTGTCGGAGCTGGGGGAAGTTATGTAGAAGGTTGAATTTCAGTAGGCGCTTGGGGTGAAAACTACATCTGAATTTCCCACTTCCACACAACTATTAAAGGCCCGGGAGCCCTGTCCTCCTTTGCATTCATCCATGTACTTCAAACAGCAGACTGGGGAGGGGGTTATTTGAGAGCAAACACAGTGTTCCTTGCAACATCTGCTCAGACATTGTGAGGAATTTTGTGGGGAGTTGATTAACAAGGAATCCTCTTTCCTACAGTTGAACCACAAAGTGGAGTACTAACTACTGACTCT